CAGTCCTCCCCAGATTTTTTTACTCGTATTATAATGTCACGAACAAGTGGAGTAAAAATGCATTGACCCTGAAAAGCGTTCGGCAAGACAACTCTTTATCAGAATTGTTCAATAAATAAATAATTGTTCGCTTTATTACCACTATCTCTAACAAACTTTAATATTACATGTAAGTGTGTCACAAAACAGTGAAATATGGCGAGTAAACAATTCATTCATAAAATGTAGGCAAAACAACTGATTAAGACTACATTTCACAAGATGCTTTATTAAACAGTCCCCAATTATCGTTACTATATTTATTTCCAGAGTCTAAGCCCATGCGCTTTGTTTGGTTGTGCTAATGTCTTTAGTCTGATATTTATTTTAATGATGTGAATCCAAATGATTCCTGTGACGGACCGCTGGCACTCCGACTGAGTACCTCCGCCAATCGATGCTCCTAGTGCTTGCTGAGGACTCCAAGCACTCCAACCGACACCATCAACACTGCAGACCCCACTTCCAGCGATGCAGCTGCGCCAGGGTCTCGCTGTCTCCACCCACCCTGGACCCAAGGCCAGGATCCAGCTTCCAGTGGGTTAACCTCTCTTTCCCCAGAGAGCAGGAACAGGAACAAGCTCTTAGCAGAGCTTAGTGATCATACCCTGGGGAGTATAGTGATTATAGCAATCCCCAGAGTGAAGTTCTCCAATTCCCCAAACATGAGCCAAGTCTTCAAGAAAGGTACAAGATGGTACACACTGGCTTTTATGCAAGTCCCCATGCAAGGGGACATCCCACAGGGTGGGACACAGTGCAACCAATCATTTACAGGAAAACCATAAATCACACCCAGCACCAACATACAATCCCTCCCCTCTGCCTGTGATATAATTACTGAACACAATGGGTTAATGTAATTGTGACGGACCGCTGGCACTCCGACTGAGTACCTCCACCAATCGATGCTCCTAGTGCTTGCTGAGGACTCCAAGCACTCCAACCGACACCATCAGCACTGCAGACACCACTTCCAGTGATGCAGCTGCGCCGGGGTCTCGCTGTCTCCACCCACCCTAGACCCAAGGCCAGGATCCAGCTTCCAGTGGGTTAACCTCTCTTTCCCCAGAGATCAGGAACAGGAACAAGCTCTTAGCACAGCTTAGTGATCATACCCTGGGGAGTATAGTGATTATAGCAATCCCCAGAGTGAAGTTCTCCAATCCCCCAAACATGAGCCAAGGCTTCAAGAAGGTACAAGATGATCTGATTTTAATGACCACCCACTGGCTTTTATGCAAGTCCCCATGCAAGGGGACATCCCACAGGGTGGGACACAGTACAACCAATCGTTTACAGGAAAACCGTAAAACACACCCAGCACCAACATACAATCCCTCCCCTCTGCCTGTGATATAATTACTGAACACAATGGGTTAATGTAATTTATCACAGGCAGGAAAAATACACTTTTTACACATATACTGTAACTTTAAAAATATGCATCATATTCACATAAAACATACATATTCAGAATCAGCATACTTTAAATATAAACACAACCAAAAATCATGCAAATCCTTCCATCAGTTCAAAAGTTAGTCGAAAGTCCTTTGTGACCAAAGGAAGCATGGCTTTTCTGCCCAATACCAGTTCCACAGAGTCTTCTATCCTGGAGATAATTGGGAAGTAATCCAATTATCTCCAAGGACAGAGGCAAAACTCCATTGAACACATGGCAGCAAAAGACAATAAAATACATAAAAATATATAACTGTGCAGCCATTGCATAAAACAGGTACATTCAGCATATCCCCAGATAGCTTAGGTCTGAGCGCACATTATTACTGAATGGCGCTCAGATCACACACATACAGTTCAACTGCCATGGAGCCAAAGTCTTTCCCATAGTCTTTCATTATACGAATGGGCTCCATGGCATAGCTATCTGGGGTATCACCGCTCAAACAGGGAAAGCACCGAATGACCCGGCTTTCGTGTCTTTGCAGTGGAAATCCAGCGTTTCAACATGGGGCCATAGTCTAAAGGCAAGAGGCTGGCAAGTAGTCCTCTCCAGGCATAAGTGGCGAGGTTAATTTCGCCACAATTCCTTTCATGTATTTTTTTATTTAATGTGTTCAGACATACTCTATCAGTCATGTACACATCCTGCATCTCACTTCCTCCCATATTTTACACAGAATTTCCTCTCTCACATCAGGACACAAAATTTATATTTTATCTTACCTCTCCTCTCCCCTAAATCTCCTATGTGCTATTGTTTATGATATCAGCACGTCAAACCTCACTTGACCGGTCTGTGAATTAAAGTATTCTAAGATCAATGCTCAGGGAGAAAGCAGCTAATGAATCATTATACTGCAATATTTCCTCGTTGTTGGTTTGAAGCTGTTTAGGAAATAAATGCTTAGATAGTAATTTTGTTGCCGCCTTCTCTCCTCTCTATAACCAAATGGGAAGATATTACGCATCCTAAAGCCCTGTAATGAGGTAAGAGAGAATACTAGCAACTAGGGTAATGATTCAGCCTTAAAATCAGGATTACCTCTAGGGACCCTACAGAAACAGGACTATCCTTGGTCCCTGGCTAATATCCCCAGGTTCTCGATGCTGTTTTAATAGTGTCACCGTGTCATCACGTGTCACCTCAGTTTCAGGTTGTCTGAATATCAGTAAAGGTTTTTATTTTCTATGTGATTTATATATATATGTATTGTTTTAGTTGTTTATTACTTCTTAGGGACTTGTCTGTTTCCAATACTTTTTATAGAGGAGTTTTTGGAATGTATAATTTGTAGTATTTGGAGTTTTGAGTTAAGCCCATTAAACAAGTCCTTTAAAAGCAACACGTGCAGGGGAACCAACTGTATTTTAGATCATTTTCTCCGTAATCAGAAAAAATACTAACTTATGTACAAGCTACAAAGGAAAATGGCACAAGACAAAAAAATTGAACTTTTGGCCCCTCTAGCAGTTGTAACTGTGACACGAAGCAGCTTGATGAGGACCAACAACCACACATATTCAGCCAATTCCTTGGCATGGACACAGTCCCAGATAGCCCCCCAGAAGGTGATTAGCAGGCAACGTAGACTTGCAGTAAGCAAGTATCAAATGTGCACCAAGTCTATGTTGGAGAAGGTGAGTATTGTCACCTCTGTTCCCTACCGGCAACGCAGGATTGATTGGTGCATGTGCGGCTACATGTTGGCGCATCTGAACCTTCACACTCCAGCCCAGGCTTTGGTAGGTTCATCCGCCATAGGACCACTGGATCCTCTAATTTGGGTGTCATGTCCAGAGTTCAAAGAGACTTCTGTCTCGCACACAGAGACCTCAGAAGGTGTGGTCAGCGGTCAGGAGCAGCATCCATACTTTGACTACCGGCCCAGGGGGAGAGCAGCACCCCTAGGCACCATCCAGACCCCTTGCATCGGCGGGCAGGGTACGCTTCAATGCACGTATGTTGATGCGCTGCAAAAATGCTTTGCAGATTGCCTCAAATTTGCTTGAAACACTTCGGCCCACTCCTGCTACAACCTCACTGCAAGAGCAGATGCCATTTTGGGGATACCTGTAGGATTTCCTGTAATAAATTTCTGCCATCAGTATAAGGAGTGATTCATACTTGAATACATACAATAGATGGTAAAGCACACTTCTGGATATGTCTGTAAGAAATATATAACACACAAAATAGTGCAATATCGTTTGTATAAATAGGCAGTGTAGAATTTTAAATGAAGTACTCACAAGCCTAGAGCCAAATATATGTGGCTCTCACTGTTGTCGCTGAACAGTCTCTCAGGTTTTAACAACATACTGAAAAGACAAAGGGAGTGCTCTGCTTTTAATATCAGTATTGGCTGGAAAGTAGCTGTGTATCTATAAAACAGGCTTGATTTTCCTGGGAACTGTTGGGAACACCCATTCACTTTGGAACCCTCCGAAAGCCAAGTGGGATCAGTGATCCAGCCAGGAGAGGGACATCCTTCTAAAAAAGTCCCAAGGCGACAACAGTGAGAGCCACATATATTTGGCTCTAGGCTTGTGAGTTCTTCATTTAAAATTCTACACTGCCTATTTATACAAACGATATTGCACTATTTTGTGTGTTATATATTTCTTACAGACATATCCAGATGTGTGATTTACCATCTATTGTATGTATTCATTTATGCTATATTGAGTGGTGTGAGGGGTTTCCCACTCAGGTGGTTTGTAGCACTTTAGCTACCACACTTATTCCCATTGTTTTATTGTATACACTTTTAATCACAGTGATTCATACTTGCAGGGGTGTACTGAGGGGTTGGCCGAGGGGGGGCGCAGGCCAAAGGGGGGTGCAAAAATTAATTGTAAGTTTGAGCAGCGATTTTTGCATCTCCCCCTCGTGGTCTGCATTGGAGCGCCGGGTGTCACGTGACTACCTGGCACTCAGCATGACAGAGGCACAGTGCATGCCGTGCCCGACTTCGGTCGCCCCCTTTCCTGCCATGACAGGCAAAACGGCAGGGAGGGAGGCAAGTGAGGAGAGCCAGCTCTGTGAGTGCTGTATGGGAAGGAGATAGGTTGGCAAGGGGGGGGGAGATATTGAGAAATAGGGGTATTGGCAAAGGATGATATTCAGGAAGGGGAATATTCAGGAAGTGGGTTTTGCAAGGGGAGATATTCAGGAAGGAGAGTTTGCAAGGGGAGGGAGAAATTCAGGAAGGGGGGTTGGCAAGGGAGATTTTCAGGAAGGGGACTTGGCAAGGGGGAGATATTCAGGAAGGGGAGTTGGCAAGGGGGGAGATATTCAGAAAAAATCAAATCTGACAGGACACGACAAAACCTGCTAATCTGCTAAACAATGTAAGAGTTATTCAGAATAATTTTTTTATGAATTCCTGAAAACACTATTTGTCAATGTTCATTAATTAGACATGCAGTAAATGAGTCAGACTTTAAATACTATATAAAGCGAAACATGATTGCCGTTCAGTATTACTCTGCAGGATCACACAACATGAACACGAATCGTACAACCTCTTATCATTCTGTCTATTCCAGGGACACCATGAAAACTCCGGGACACCCACGGGTCGATCAAGGAAACTCAGCGGTAAGTGTAACTCAGTAAGGGCTGATACAGAGGTAGGTAGGCTGTATAACACTGAGAGAGAGTTATAGCAAAATGGGAATTCTTTGTTTTATTTTTAGGAAGTTTTTATGCCTTTTATTTAATTACAAAAAAAAGACAAAGTAGAAAACATTCCAATGAACATTACATTAAGTAAATTAAATGTACATCTTCCTTCCCATCAGAGGTAGGTAGGCTGTATAACACAGACAGAGTATTTATGGATCCTGCAATATGGAAGATATAGGACTGGAACTGTGACTCCTACAGGGAGTTATATCAAAGTGTGAATTATTATTCCTCATTCGAGGAAACATTTCTAGAGACTGTGTTTTACTGAAAGTCCCAGAATTCACTACTATGGCCATAGTCTAACAGAGATTAGGAGATTTGTAGTTCACCAGTAGTTGTGGTGGGTGTTATAGAGACTCAAATTAGAGAACAATGTCAGCAAAACTGGATGCAGTTTTTGGAGCTGGATTTCCTGGTATGGGTGGAGTATTTTCTGAAACTGGTTTCGTTGGAGAATTATCTGAAACGTGTGTGGGTGGGAGAATTTCCTTAAGCTGGTTTGGGTGGAGAAGTACTGTTTTCTGATTTATTTCCTCTCCCAATCAATGGTCTAACATTTATAGTGCCTGACTGTGCAGCCAATCCATCTCTGGGCTTCTGAACTCAATTATTGCTCTATTTATCAACCCAATGGGAGCCTGTTAAAAAGGCATGAATGCTTAATGAATCAAATACATCTTTTGAGATAATTATTAGACTTGGACATTCGTCCAAATACCGAAAAACAAATGGGGAGAGGAACAACGAACAAACAAATGAATAGGCGCTGAATGAAATTCCACATGTTATTCATTTGTTCATTCATTCACAATTTCCGTTCGGCCTTTTGTATTACTCTGTCTGTAATTCAAAAGGCCGAATACTTCAGCTGTATGCCGAAATGGCTCATTCTTTCATTAAGCCATTAGTTCTCTAGGCTCATTGCCATCATATCCGATCTGGGAGTGAGCCGAACTAACGGATGAACCCCGAATGATTAAGCTAGCTCCACCCATTGCTGGCAGGTAGGGACCCTCATTAATATGGGAGGGGAATCTATTGTTCCCTCCCAACCCCCACCCATTGACAGCAGCCCTAAGTAATAATGGTGGGGGTGACCTATTGTTCCCCCCCTGCCCCCACCCATTATCGGCAGGTGGGGGCTAATAGTAAAAACTAACCCACCCCACCCAGTGACTCAAAATCCTATTCACCCCCAATAAATAAATACCCTACCTACCACCCTTTACCCTAATAACAATAAACAAAATACCTGTAAAATGAAACATTCATACGTATGTCGTTAAATAAAAAAAATGAAAAAAGACCTAAACAAAAAAAGAAAAAAGTACGCCGAAAAAAAATCCTATTTAATTTTAACTGAAAACAAATGAGTTAATGTCCGAAACTCGGTTCTGACTAACAGATTTTTTTCCCCTGCCCAAGTCTAATAAATATCCCGAAATACGAATGGAAATCCTTCATTTCTTGTCTCTTCATGCAGTGGAAATGCTTATTTACATTTTCTTTAAATTTCAATGCTTTCCGTTTTTAAAAATAAAATAAAAATCCGCATTTAACCAATTATCACACTGTCAGATTAAATATGTCCAGTACTATTTCCAGACAATATATGTCAGGGTCTTTTTTGTATTTTCTTCCCCTCTTGTTGCATCTAAAGTGTAAAGTGTTCTAAAGTATTTCCCCACTTTGACAAATCTTTGATAAATCGCCATCATTTCATTTTTCAGATGATATTAGCCTCAACTTAAAAAGAAACTGAATACAAAAAGGTGTGTAGGTGTGTTGGCATCATCAAATAAAAATACAAATAAACAGGTGTAGAAAAAGTGTATCCCACAGCACTTTTTTTTAGATTGTTCCAGTGTTTTTAGAAAAGAAACTGAAGATTAGCTATTAAAAATGTCTTATCCATAAAACTGTTGTTCTAACTTTCCACACCGGGGACTTCTTTTCCATCTTTTCTGTAAAACAATCAGTTCTTCTGTCACTTTTTAATTTCTCTTTCTGAGTTTTTTCTTTATGATTTTACTCACTCAGGAAATTCTTGATACATATCAGGACTGCAATATGAAGACTTTACTAAGGACTGAGCAGCGAATTTGGACTTAATTTGGAATTATACACTAAACTATGGTGCACAACCAAAATATATAAAGCATGTAGAGTAGGATAAATCAAGCCCAGTACTTGCATTATCTAAAAATCATCTAGTTAGAACATTTGTATAAATTGTATATTTGTTCCTCAATGAGTTGTAGAAATTTTGGATACTTTCCTTCAAAACCTTTCAGATTATTCCTATGCTAACAAAGCTCTGCTAATTATGTTTCATTAAGTATATTGATTGATGTTTCCTGGAAGTAATAAATTATTAGTTGTTATCACTGTTGTGATGGACCACCTGGCACCCCGACTGGGTACCTCCACCAATTGATGCTTCCGAGCTGACGGTGAGGACCATAAGCACCTCACCTGACACCATAAGCATCGTAGACCCCACGAACTGCTACAGCTTGGTTGGGGTCTTGCTGTTTTTTCCCATCCTGGACCAAACTCCTGGTTCCAGGGTCTCAGTTGGAAGGCCTCTCCTCCAAGAGAGTATAGCTGTGAAGCTCTTATAAGAACTAGTAGTATAGCTGTATAGCAGATTCCCTACAATCAGGAATGGTTTAATGGTGCCACACTGGCCTTTCATGACAAGGGATACGCCCACATGGACTTTGTTGGGGACAGGAACTCAAATTTTCAAACCAATAATAACAGAGTTACAATGTATGACACTCCCACATACAATACAATAAGCCTTCCCCTTTACTTAGGAGATAATTGAGTCAAGCACTATACTAAACTCAATTATCTCCAAACACAAAAAACACACATTTTTACAAAACCCCCAAATACCTTAAAACACATAAAATCCCCACAAAATACATCCCCTGATAGCCCTGATCTGGTTGACCAACATATCCAAAAATCACCCAGATCAGTTCAGGGGTTCAGAAATTTTATGGAAGTCATAGTTTTTACCAACCGCAGGCATGGTCTCATAGCCGAAAATAGTTCCGTAGAATCGCGGCTAAGTGCAGCTGAAGGACTGACCGGGAACCGCAAAGTCTTTATGCCAAAAATAGTTCCAGGGCATTCGCAACTAAGTCCCCCTGAAGTCTATTCGCGGTTTTCATCCATGCGAACAAGATGGCCGCCACCTCGTGGTCGAATGGCACTTAAAATGGCTTCGGGAGTTCGGGAGTTGGAAGTGCCACTTCGAAAGTTCAAATTGTTCCTGTTATAAGTCCCAACAGGCACAAATAGTGTTTTGAGATAGGGTTTAACACAGGGGCCATAGTCACAGGGTAGGAGGCTGGCAAGTATGCCCCTCCAAGGACCTGTGACGAGGTTCAGTTCGTCCCAACTGTCATAACAGGTAACGGTGAATTTACTTATACACAATCAACACTATCATTAAAACTAAAAAATATAGGTACATAGTGATAGAAGAGCACACTATATATCTCTTCAAAATCCTTCTTTAAAAAAAAAAAAAAATACATGTTCAGTTGTTATGGTACGAGACCTTATAACTATTTGCAAAAATGTAACTTATTCATACTGTGTAACCATTTTCATTGAACCAAGGCAGACTCCTGCTTGATGAAATTTAAAACCAAAAATACCTTTTATTTATGCTAACTTTAATATGAGAAATGTCGTTTGTACTAACTCGATCTGGAAACAAAGCCTAGTTACAGCAAAAAAAATAAGCTCTCTCTTACACTTCTTTTACATACATCATGAGTGCCGCTAATAAAAACAATAAAAATAGCATGAAACCATGGAAGGTTTCAAACAGGAAAACGCTTTATATAAATCCCCCATGGAAGGTCTCAAACAGGAAAACGCTTTATATAAATCTCTATTGAATTTAATTGCACAGCTGTCACATGCTTTGTAAGAGATCATTCTGAATAAGATTGTAATCCACATATTCTGTCATCTATTTCCATGCCTTGCAAAGTTATAATGTGCATAGCTCTATAGTGTAAAAGATACTGGAGTTTTTATTTCCCTCCTCCAACCTCTCTATTGTCAGTGAGTGAGAGCCTGTGTCTCCTCTAAGCAGTACATATCAGGCTACTGCCACTGATCCAAACGGATAGATAGACCAACAGCTGTCTGTAGAAAATCCAGCAGCTCACATTGGGGGAACACAGCAGCTCACACTGGGGGGAACACAGCAGCTCACACTGGAGGGAACACAGCAGCTCACAATGGGGGAATACAGCAGCTCACACTGGGGGGAACACAGCAGCTCACACTGGGGGAACACAGCAGCTCACACTGGGGAACACACAGCAGCTCACACTGGGGGGAACACGGCAGCTCACACTGGGGGGAACACAGCAGCTCACACTGGGGGGAACACAGCAGCTCACACTGGGGGGAACACAGCAGCTCACACTGGGGGGAACACAGCAGCTCACACTGGGGGGAATACAGCAGCTCACACTGGTGGGAACATAGCAGCTCGCACTGGGAGGAACACAGCAACTCACACTGGGGTAAACACAGCAGCTCACACTGGAGGAAATACAGCAGCTCATACTGGAGGGAACACAGCAGCTCACACTGGTGGGAACAGAGCAGCTCACACTGGGAGGAACACAGCAGCTCACACTGGGGGGAACACAGCAGCTCACACTGGAGGGAACACAGCAGCTCACACTGGGGGGAACACAGCAGCTCACACTGGAGGGAACACAGCAGATCACACTGGGGGGAACACAGCAGCTCACACTGGAGGGTACACAGCAGCTCACACAGGAGGGAACACAGCAGCTCACACTGGAGGGAACACAGCAGCTCACATTGAGGGAACACAGCAGCTCACACTGGGGGGTACACAGCAGCTCACACTGGAGAGAACACAGCAGCTCACACTGGGGGAACACAGCAGCTCACACTGGGGAACACAGCAGTTCACACCGGAGAGAACACAGCAGTTCACACTGGAGGGATCACAGCAGCTCACACTGGGGAGAACACAGCAGCTCACACTGGGGGGAACACAGCAGCTCACAGGAAACACAGCAGCTCACACTGGAGGGAACACAGCAGTTTACACTGGGGGGAACACAGCAGCTCACACTGGAGGGAACACAGCAGCTCACACTGGTGGGAAGACAGCAGCTCACACCGGAGAGAACACAGCAGCTCACACTGGAGAGAACACAGCAGCTCACACTGGAGAGAACACAGCAGCTCACACTGGTGGAACACAGCAGCTCACACTGGAGGGAACACAGCAGCTCACACTGGTGGAAACACAGCAGCTCACACCGGAGAGAACACAGCCGCTCACACTGGGGGGAACACAGCAACTCACACCGGAGAGAACACAGCCGCTCACACTGGGGGGAACACAGCAGCTCACATTGGGGGGAACACAGCAGCTCACACTGGAAGGGACACAGTAGGTCACACTGGAATCAGCGTCACAGCAGCTCACACTGGAATTAGCATCACGGCAGCTTACATTGGAGGGGGGGCAGCAGCCGACAGTGAAGGGATCACGGGAGCTTATATAGGATGAAGGCCAAGAGGCCAAAAACTACAATATTTGTGTTGTAATAATATACAACATCTATTATAACTTTTCAAAAAGGAACACTCCAAACATATTAGGCTCTGACATTTGCTGAACAGATTTTACCAAACATTTGCTGAAAATTACACTTAAGAGTCAGTGACACTTTAATATCCTCCTCTACCTTTATATTTTTTTTCAGTTTGTCTCCCAAACTCGACACTATCTCTCAATACAAGTTACAGGCATAAAATATAATCTCTACAGTTGGTTTAGTAGCTAAAATGTTAAAAACTAAACTATATACATGTTTATTTTTCATTGAAAAAGAAAATAATGTTATTTTAGGCTTGTCCATAAAGCTTTATCTAGTACCTTCTTAAAATAGAGAAATAGATACCTCTACAATAATGACTGAACCCTAACTGAAAACTTGAGATTCCCCTGTGGCGGTATACCCTCCTGAAGATGGGTTTCTACCACCTGTGGTCGCCCTTTCCTAATTGTGATAGCTCCAGAGAGATTATAGCTGCCAGTATATACAGCATTGCTGAAGGGGTAACCGCAGTATCCCCCAAACACGTGCCAAGGCTGAGTGAAGGGTGAAGAAGAACTGTTTATTCCCAGCCAAATGGCTCACATTTATACAGAATCTGGTACAGTAGACACACCCATAAACACACCCACAATATGCCCAAGAATTACAGTGTTACCATGACAAAAACAGTAACAAGTTTTTGCTGAGTCATAGGTAAATTACAGACCAGTTATGGTCTGTTAATTTATCTATTAATTCAAAATGTTTCGAATTGATACTTGTGATAATATTCAATGGAGAAAAATATAAAACCAGAAAAACACATATTTCCCAGATAGGAACCCCCACAGTCTATACATCCCTGGATAGCCTGGATCTGAGCGCCCAACATATCCGAAAAGCGTTCAGATCCCACGAACTGAGCCAAAACGCCACCGTGTGGATGTTCTGACCGGCCGCACACATGGTCCTATGCCCAAAATAGTTCCAGGGCGTTTTGTGCTTTTGGCCAGTCAACTTTGGGAGTACCATGTTGTAACGGATCACCTGGCACCCCGACTGGGCACCTCTGTTGATGGACGCTTCCTAGCTGACGCCAAGGACCATAAGCACTGTACCGGACACCACAACCACTACCGACTCCACAACCACCGTAGCTTAACTGGAGTCTCGCCGTCTGCCTTCCACCCTTAATTAACCACTGTCCTCCATGACCGTGTGGGAAAGACCTCTCCTCCTGGAGAGCGTAACAGGAACAGCTAAGTGATTAGAGCTCAGGGGAGTATACAAAGTATAGCAATCCCCAGTGTGAATATAGCAGTTCCCTACAATAACAAGACGAGGCTACGTATTGAGGATTAAGCATATCAGAACAGAATGAACTGAGAGGTTATTATCTCTTTTATACAAGTTTTCCCACAAGGTTACCACCCATGTGGACCTTCTTGGGCACCGATAACACAAACTCAACAGCAAATCATTTACAGTTACACAGTTAAACACTTTCATTCATTACTGTAAATTCCTCCCCTCTGCTTGGGAGATAATTGAGTTAATTGCTGTATCAACTCAATTATCTCCAAGCGAAAAATACATTTTTTAAACATTTCTCATAACATCAAAATTATACATCCAATTCACATACAACTTACATTTTCCAAATGAGGATAATTATGGGAACAACATGTGAAAAAATCATCCGAATCGGCTCAGTGGTTCGGGAGATAGCTGGAAATCACATTTGACCGACCGCAAACATGGCTTTCAAACCCAAAACAGTTCCACAGATTTGATCTGTGCGGCCGGTCTATCTTCTCCTTCAAAATAGGTACAAATTGCACGAACGGATTGTCATTGCAAGCGTCTTGGTGTGAGTTTCTTCCCTTAGAATAGCGGCTCATACGAACGCCGACACCCCAGCAGTTTGTCAATTAAGCTGCCATTAACCACAGCTCCTGGGAGGTCAATGAGCAGCACACTCCACTTGCGGGTGGTCTGGCTGTTCGTCAGTTTGTTCTGTAAATGAACACCACTAACACAATCCACTCTGCAAGTCCCAGTCAATGGTCCATTGCAGGAAAAACTCACGAACAGCAGCTTTTCCCCAGTCCTGAACCAGAGATTAATGCAGAGGCCATAGTCACAAGGCAAAAAGGCTAACCATTAGTCCTCTCCAAGAACAAGTGGCGAAGGGCAATTCATCACACATGTGAAAGAAATACCGAACGCACACTCTGGCTTCTTGGTAGCGTTTGTTCATATGAACCATACGAGCAAACCGAATGGCGCTCTCCTGACGTGTGGGGAAGGAGCAGGTGTTCGTCAAAGTTCAGTGGTGTTCGAGAGTTTCAGTGTCCGATTTTAGTCCAACGTGATCGACACCCAAACACCGCTGTCTGCATTCTCACGAACAAGATGGTCGCCACACAGTTCCCACCTGCTCGCGCATACGAACCGCAGCCACCCAGCCGCACAATCAGGACCCACACTGATTGAAGTGTCAGGAGAAGTTACTAAGGGTCAATAAGCTCAGAGGTGGTCTGCAGTTCGTGGATAAAACACAGATAAAACACAGAGGTATATTGAAATACATCCATTAAATTGAGATATATTGGATGTTCAGATCACTGAAGTGGTCATGGTGCTTGGAGTAACACAATAAGGGAAGTAATATGTACAAAGAAGATATAACCAGTTATGGTCTGTTAATTTATCTATTAATTCAAAATGTTCAGAATTGATACTTGTGATAATATTCAATGGAGAAAATGTAAAACAATGGCAGCAGGTTAAAAGACAGTAGTTTGTAAAAATTGTCATAATATTAACGAACATTAGATGGCGCTGTGATGTCTTAAATAGCTCTATGGATATGTAAAGTAACACATGCGTATCAGTTTAATCACTGCCATGAGTTCTGAATTGGAAATCTATTTGTAGTTAATAAAAATTCTTATATTGTCATTTTGTGAATATAAAGACTGAATATGACCATAACGTCCTCGAAAATCTAAGTCGGCTATAGTGTGCTAGATAGTGGCGTAGCTAGAGCTTTTGCCGCTGGGGCAGTCCCTGAGTTTGTCGCCCTGATCTCGACCCATGTCATGTCCAGTACAGTAGCGAACGTCCGTGGCTGTGCTTGAATCATACCTCTTTGTACTGCACGCCTCCAGCCCAGCACTGTTTACTAGACATAGAAACATAATTGTGACGGCAGTTAAGAACCATTCGACCCATCTAGTCTGCCCAATTTTTTAAATACTTTCATTAGTCCCTGGCCTTATCTTATAGTTAGGATAGCCTTATGCCTATCCCAAGCATGCTTAAGCTCCGTCACTGTGTTAACCTCTACCACTTCAGCTGGAAGGCTATTCCATGCATCCACTACCCTCTCAGTAAAGTAATACTTCCTGATATTATTTTTAAACCTTTGCCCCTCTAATTTAAGACTATGTCCTCTTGTTGTGGTAGTTTTTCTTCTTTTAAATATAGTCTCCTCATTTACTGTGTTGATTCCCTTTATATATTTAAATGTTTCTATCATATCCCCCCTGTCTCGTCTTTCCTCCAAGCTATACATGTTAAGATCCTTTAACCTTTCCTCGTAAGTTTTATCCTGCAATAAATGAACCAGTTTAGTAGCCCTTCTCTGAACTCTCTAAAGTATCAATATCCTTCTGAAGATACGGTCTCCAGTACTGCGTACAATACTCCAGGTGAGGTCTCACCAGTGTTTTGTACAATGGCATGAGCACTTTACTCTTTCTACTGCTAATATCTCTCCCTATACAACCAAGCATGACAGATGCACAGTCAGATTTGCCAGCATTTGTGCTAACCTTACCCAAAACCTATTAAGACATGGACACCAGTTATACTGTTGGAAATATTAGTCCACAGCTTTATTAATTATTAAATAAATAAGGGATAACAAATAGGAGTCATTGCCAACGAATCTTATTAAAGTCTACGTCCCCCCATATAGATAACATACCCCTGGCAATGACCCCACATTAATAACAATAGGTTACAATCTAATTAACATATTACCATAGAAACTCTTCGTCCAGTATGACCATGTTTCCACCATGTTACCATAGAAACTGGCCATTCAGTATGACCATATTTCCTCCATAGTAACTGTAGGGTGTACCAAGACACCGCAACCCAGATATCCATTTGTAGGGGTGTACCAAGACACCGCTACCCACCAGATAAATTGTAGGGGTGTACCGAGACACCGCTACCCACCAGATTAAATGTAGGGGTGTACCGAGACACCGCTACCCACCAGATCAATTGTAGGGGTGTACCAAGACACCGCTACTCACCAGTTCCAATGTAGGGGTGTAACCAGACACCGCTACACACCCAGGTTCGAAGCCACCGGGGGCACGAACCTACCAACCACATGTAACACTGCCTAATCTACACTGAACCTCAGGATACCCACTTCTTCCTCCATCTACTCCCCCTCCCCCCCTGATTTAACCTGGCCATTCCCTGCTGCTGTGAAGAAAACAGGAAAGTTAACTAACCTAACCAAATTTAGGGAGGGTGCGATTGACAACTGACAGGTAAGTTTAGGTTAAGTAAAGATGGCCACTTCATAAGATGGACGCTATAAATACTCCCCTTGTGGCTCCGCCCTGCCCCCATGTTGCTAGCTGTCACTCAAATCCCTATGGCTGTTATGCCTACCTCCTGGCTCTGTCAAGGCCCACTCCTCTAGCTACGCTGATCCATGGCCTACATGACAGGCGCACAGTCGGATTTGCTGGCATATGCGCTAACCTTACCCAAAACCCATTAAGACACGGACACCAGTTATACTGTTGGAAATATTAGTCCAGAGCTTTATTAATTATTAAATAAATAAGGGATAACAAATAGGGGTCATTGCCAACGAATCTTATTAAAGTCTATGTCCCCCGATAGAAATAAAATACCCCTGGCAATGACTCCACATTACTAACAAAAACTAATAATCTATTTAACATATAACCATAGAAACTGGCCGTCCAGTATGACTACGTTTCCACCATGTTACCATAGAAACTGGCCGTCCAGTATGAACACATTTCCAACATAATAACTGTAGGGTGTACCAAGACACCGCTACCCAGATATCCATTGTAGGGGTGTACCAAGACACTGCTACCCACCAGATAAATTGTAGGGGTGAACCGAGACACCGCTACCCCCCAGATTAAATGTAGGGGTGTACCGAGACACCGCTGCCCACCAGATCAATTGTGGGGGTGTACCAAGAAACCGCTACCCACCAGTTCCAATGTAGGGGTGTACCCAGACACCGATTTAACGTTGCCATTCCCCGCAACAGCTAAGGACTTGATACCTTAAGATCCTGAGTGACCCCCACTACACCGGAATAAGGCCAGCTGAATGTCGTCCAGCAGGCCCAAATTAAATAGATCACATCTGATTTAGATCAAAGCAAACTTTGATTAATTGTCTATCTACTCCTTCCAAACTGATTAATTAATGCGTGCACGCTTTTCCTTAGAAGTAATTCACACCGGAGACAAGGTTTCTGATTAGTAAAAAACCTGAGGAATGCTTTATTCCCCGGAGTGGGATCCCCTTTTAAAGCAGAAATACGTCATGTACAGAGTCACAGTTAACATACAGTATACATTCAACAATTGGTTAACAGTCTAAGGGGTTTTGTCTAAACCCACCCTAAAGGATGTAATGTCATCATTACAGAGTTCTCCCACCCACATTCCTGCTCCATCTTGTTTACACGATGGGAGGGGGGTGAGTAGTTACTGAACAGAGAGGGGCTGAAGGGGAAACAGTTACTTTAACAGCGATTCTCCATTTTGTTACACGTGGCACATAGCTTTTAACTTGCACAAAGGAAGTGGGGGAGGAGTTAGTAAAGGTAGCTGTTCTTTTAACACAGGAATTTGTTACACAAGGCTTGCTCGATGGGAAGGGGGGAGGGTAGCCGGATGGGAGGAATTTACAGAGGAAATAGTTACTGAGCACACATGTACAGAGTAAAAAACACATTTTATCCTTTCAAGTATTTTGTCCATAACACATCCTGCATCTGAAAGATGGACCCCATCCCTCCTGAAATACCCCGAAAGCATGCTTTCCAATTCCTGGTGCCTCACTACTAGTCCACCCAACCGTCTGATAAACACAGCCATCATTTTGTTAACCTGCCCCCTAGTGGTGTGGTCCATCTCGGACCACACCACCACCATGCCTGGAACCAGCTCCCGTAGCTGGTCCACATCCCTCTTCACCCACCTTACCAATTCCTTTTTTGGGACCATGCCCAGATCATTGCCGCCGTCCTTCCATCCACCTTAAGAGGCTCAGGAGCAGCATCATAACTTCTGCATCCAGCCGCCTGGTTCTGCCTCAGGGCCGTAGACGTAGTTGCAGACCTGCGGGGAGACAACAACCTGGGTAGTCTGCTCGTAGGATACCCTACTCCTCCATCCTCCCCGTGCTCCTGACCATGGCCTAAATCTTCGATACGCCCTGCTGCCTGACCCAACTCGGCTCCTCGCCCTATCCTCAGATAAAGTCGATCACCCCCTACTGTAACGCCTCCCAGACGAGTTCCTATCTCTGCTGCGCCGATCCGTTGCGGACTGTCTATCCTCGCTGCGCCTGGTCCTATCTCCCGTACTCCTCTGAACAGTAGCCTGGACTGGGATACCCGGTGAATCACTGTCCCATATCCTAGAGCAGCGCTCCCTGGTTGCATGGCTCCTACATTCCTGTTGTCCACCTGCCTGGCTCCATGTAGCCATCTGCCTAACGTCCTGCCAGACCAGGCGTGGGCCGTGCTGCGCAGCCCAGGCCCCGACTGGGCTGCATCCTCACTCTCTGAACTCCTATCCCATCTGTCCATCCTGCCTGGCCCCTCCCTGGCCGTGGAAGGGCTGCAGCTAATCCCTGCCTGACTGCCTGCCCCAGCCGTAGCCCTTGCCGCTTTAGCTCCACCTGTAATGGCGGTGTCTCCTGTAGCTGCCCTGGCCCCAGCCGGGGCCATACCAGAATCCCTCCTGCTGCCTGGGCCCCGCACGGCCCGTTCCCTTCCGTGCCCTCTGGGCACCCACGTCCTGCCCCACACCACCACATGATACAAGGCCCATGGAGGCCGATTCACCGCGTAAAATAGGGGCATCTCCCGCTTTGGGTGCAGGCCTGGCGGCACTCCTGGTTTCACCGGAGCCCGCCATTTTCCGCAGTCAACCTTTTCTGCCAGCCGCCATCCGACGGGGCACAGCCCGACCTGGGAGGCCCAGACGTGCTGCCTCCCATCCTCAACCTATCCCAGTGACATTCTCTGACATGGACTGCCTGCCAGGGGCCTCCCTAGATGGCACACCAGTGTTGCTCATATCCTGCCAACTGCCGTTGTGCTCCTGCGGCCTGCTCCGGATCCGTCAGCCGTTGGACCCGCTCCTGGGGATGGGTTCATTTTCCTCCTCCTGGCCGGTGCCGACCCAGGGCTTAAACATTGTGGATGCCTCGCCCTTCGCACAGGCTGTCGATCCGGACCCACCGCGGTCTCGCCCGATGGTCCCGGGGTTGCCACCCACTCACGCAACCACTCGATACCGCATTCCCTCCTGCAAGAAATTCCTCAACTGGATCCATCTGAAAAAGAAAAAAAGAGCCTACCCAAACCTGAGAGACAACTGACAGGTAAGTTTAGGTTTAGTTAAGATAGCCACTTCATAAGCTGGCCGGTATAAATACTTCCCTCGTGGCTCTGCCAGCTTGCTAGCTATCACTCAAATCCCTTATGGCTGTATTGCCTACCTCCTGGCTCTGTCAAGGCCCACTCCCCTAGCTACGCTGATCCATGGGCTACATTCTGCTAGCATTTCCTGCTGCTCTATTACAATAACAAAAAAGAAATAATTAATATATCACATATATGAATAAAATGTACTTAATAAGGACAAAATAGCTTCCCTAGAGGTCTTTCCCACTTAGACCTCTTCAATATCAGATGTGTAGGAAAAAAGGAAGAGGGATGCAGCTAAAAACTAAAATAAAAAGAAAACAAACAACACATGATGATTACTGGACACATATTACTGGACAGCTTCCACTGGAGGATGGTGGATGGGAAGCAGACTCAAATGGCTCAGGATACAGTCAGGAACCAAATATCTGGAAAGAAGATTTATTTAGGCACAATTGACCAATAAAGTATAAAAAAATATATAGAATAAAATCTAACACGTTTCGTCCAACGCAGTGGACTTCATCAGAGATAAAATGCTTTTATCTGACTGTATCCTGAGCCATTTGAGTCTGCTTCCTATCCACCATCCTCCAGTGGAAGCGGTCCAGTAACATCCCTCAGTGGATTTCAAGGCGCATATTTCATTAACATCGTGTGTCATTTAATCTTACTGTACATCACTATATGTTGTTTGTTTTCTTTTTATTTTAGTTTTTAGCTGCTCTATTACATTGTCTGCCTACCTTTAAGTCATCAGAAATAATCACCCCTAAATCCCTTTCCTCATGTTGAGGTAAGGACTCTGCCCTTATAGAAGACCTATAGAAATGTGTATTTACTTGAGGTTACAATACTTTTGAGACCAACACCATAAATGATAAGATGACAGAAAGATGAAATATAACTAACTGAACTAGTTGTTTTAAATGCTTCATCTCATATATTATATAATTATGTTCAGGGGTGTATTTACCGCGAGGCTGACAAGGCATTTGCCGGGGGCAGCAAAAAAAGCCTCCCCCAAGTTAGTGAGTGTGTTAGTGTGTGTGACATATTAGGGATGTCAAGAAGCATAGCTAAACATAGCCAATAAAATCTAAGTTTATTAGTAATTAAGTTCAATTACTTAATAGTGAACAAGATGTGTCTACTAAGTTTTAAATGAATATAATGATTTGAATTCAATTGGAAACACCAGAGAACATTAGGTACTTACACTTCCGGGTAAAGTCACATGAATTAAATCATGTGACCATCTCCAGCCAATGAAGCACCACTACTGATGCCAATCACGTGATCTAATGAAAACGAATCATAATCGCGTACGGATGCGCATGCGTTAGATAAAAGTGATTATGTCAAAGAGATAGAAAGATAACTTGATGATAGTGTAACTTATAAAAAAACTTCAACTGACCCTACATTAACTTTAAAAAAGAAAATTGATTTGTGTTTGAAAATGGCATTTGATGATTTGATTATTGATAAACAGTTATTTAAGTATCTTACTGTTTCTTCTCCTGTCATTCCCACATTGTATATTTTGCCAAAGATCCATAAGTCTTTGATTAATCTCCCCGGGCGACCAATAGTGGCGGGTATAGGGTCTCTCTTATCCCCACTTGCCAAATTTTTAGATCAAGTATCAAGACCCTTTTTGAATCAGATAAAATCTCATGTTAAGGATACATTTGAGGTGTTAGAAAAGATCAAAACAATTACAAATGTACAGAACTTGACATTGGTGACTTTTGATGTCACTAGTCTATACACTTCAATTCCCCATGATGAAGGTATGACAGCGATGGGCGAGGCCTTGGAAATATTAAGCTTCAAAGACCCTTCTCTGTCATTTCTTCTGCAATAACTTGAATTTGTTATGGGTGAAAACTACTTCTCTTTTGGAAATGATTTCTTCATTCAGGCCGAGGGTACTTCGATGGGTTCCAATGGTGCCCCCAGATATGCCGGCATCTATATGGGCAAATTGGAAGAAAATGTTATATATCAGAATGAATTGTTCAAAAAATATATTGTTAAATGGTGGCGATATATTGATGATGTGCTGGCGCTTTGGTGTGGCCCATTGGAACCCCTCGAAGAATTTTTCAATTTTCTAAATTGTTGCTCTGATAGCATCAAGTTCACTATGGAGATGGATCAACATTCCATTTCTTTTTTGGATATTTTGATTGTTAAGAATAAATATACATTTGAGACGAATTTGTATAGAAAACCATTAGATAGAAATACGTTATTACATTATGACAGCTTTCATGCTATCCGTATGTTTAAATTCATAACTAGGAGTCAATTCATAAGGGTTAAAAGATTAGTATCTAAAACTGAACTGGTAGATCAACAGTTAAAATCTATGACAAAAAGTTTTTGTGAGAGAGGTTATCCTCTATCTATCTTACAAACCCAATTAGAATATGTCAATAATAAAGAAGAAACACATGATTTAAATCTATCCAAACGAGCCAAAATAGAGGACAGAATCAAGATTATTTCTAGGTACAGTACACTGTCCTCTGATTTAAAACATATAATTGATAAACATTGGCATATGCTATCAACGTGTCATCCAAATATTGTGGAATTTGTAAATAAACCCCTTATGGTACATAGACGTGCTCCTTCGTTGAGAGATAGGCTGGTTAAAGCTCAACTATCCTCTCCATCAAAATCAATTTCAAAGAAAAATTAAGTTTTCCATGCTTAAATTGCATTTGCTGCAACTCTATGATTAAAGGTTTGACATTTACTCACCCACATAGGGGTAATAAATATGTGATTAAACAGATGTGATTTATATTTTAAAATGCCCTTGTGGTTTGATCTATGTAGGTCAAACAACACAAAAAATGAATGAAAGATTTTTGAAACATAAATCTACAATCAGGACAAAACTGCTTGAGTTGCGCATTCCAATGCATTTTGTAGAAGCAAAACATAATATTACTCAACTTAAATTTCAAATCATTGAACATGTAGAAGAGAGCTCAAGACGCGGGGACCGATTAAAAAGATTATGATTTAGAGAAGCATATTGGATTAGGGAACTAGGATCCCTGACACCTAGGGGACTCAGTCAAGAATATGACCTCAATTCGTTTATTTAAACTTAAGTATATTTAAATTCAAGTATAGTTATTGTTGTTTTTAATTTTTTATTTCATTAACCCTTAATTTTTGCTATGTTTTACAGATCATCTTCACAGATTATCATCTGTGTGAGCTGTGCTGGTTAACACTCTATTGAGCACACGTCTTTTATATTGTCTCTCAAGTGTTCTTTAATACGAATCTTTAATTATATGACAGTAGATGAATAAATAATAGGGGGTTAGTTAGAACTAAGACTTCGTGATTTTTCCTGTCGTTCGATATATTATTGATAGATATATTGTATTGAATTAATTAATTAAAAAATATTATTATACATAATAGCTGGTAATATTATTTTACAGCTTTATAATAATCTTAAAAATATTCAATCATTCTTATACTAATCTCTATCACTTTGACGTTCCAATAGATAAAAATTAAAGCTTAATAGTATTGAATCAAACAATTTAATTAGATAATAAAGTTAAATATATATTTGGCTCTTTTTATGAAAATCCATGATTTAAGTGACTATTAAATCTATTGTGAGAAAAATAAGGTCTATTGTGAGATTATATTTTAGATATTCCATGATTGCTCTCACTTTATTAGATCATTAAATATGATCCACTCTTTATTTTATTTTACACATATGAATCACTTTATTTATTTTTTATACATTTAGTCACATGGGTAGTGGCTTTTTTATATTTGCACAATATTTATTATTGTCCTGTGGTATGTGATACACACTAGGGGACCTTGTACTACTAGTAGTGTTATAGTATATGTAATACTGTTTGATATTATTTTTGTATATATTTTTTGGTTTATTATTTGTATTATAACTTTCACTATATAACCTTTATACAATGAGGTTAGGATAAGTGTATTATTTCACATAATTTATTAATTAATACTAATGTGTCATTATATATTAGTATTCACTATATTATTAGTTATATTGTAATATTCACTATATTATTTTTATATAATTATACAGTGATAATTGTGGAATGGAAACATAATCTATTAATTGACATTGATCTGCTGTCATATGTTAATATTTAGTATATTGTTTATAACATTCTATGAACTCTATATTTCATATATTATCCACTATTGGGTTTGTCAATTCAAAAGCAGAAGCCAAACCAATCATTTTATTATATATTTGATAATTACATTGGTGTCTATTATATGACTATGATAATTACTAAACTTGACTTGATATGTGGCCCATTGCTATTGTCATCATATATCTAATATGAATCTATAAGTTGGGTCTCTTTATGAAACATTGGAAGTATTTTGAATTTTATCGATATTTGCCGTTTTGCGCGTACGCGATATGACGCATGCACACTGTAATTAACATGTGGCTTTGCTTCTATGCGATGTGTGCCATTGCGCATGCGTGATTCGGCGCACGCGCGGTACGGATGCATTTCCTTACGCATGCGCATCCGTACGCCATTATGATTCGTTTTCATTAGATCACGTGATTGGCATCAGTAGATTTAATTCATGTGACTTTACCCGGAAGTGTAAGTACCTAACGTTCTCTGGTGTTTCCAATTGAATTCAAATCATTATATTCATTTAAAACTTAGTAGACACATCTTGTTCACTATTAAGTAATTGAACTTAATTACTAATAAACTTAGATTTTATTGGCTATGTTTATCTATGCTTCTTGACATCCCTAATATGTGAGATGAGTATTGGAGAGACAATTATGTTTTGTTTATATGTTTATTATTGTTAATTGATGTTGGGAGGAATCAATCATTGTATCACATGTTTATTCACTTATTTAATGGTTATATGAACCTATATATTATGTATCTTGTTTGTGCTTCAGTAGCTTGCCAAAGACCCTAAGGGGTTGAAACGTTGCTGTGTAGTTCCTGGTTCTAATAAAATTGCCTACACTTTGGAATTCGTTGGAGTGCCTGGATTATTTTCTACAATTAATAATGTCAGCCCTCATTAGTCTGAAGGCAACGTGATGACGTATTAGTGCACAGTACAAAGAGACGTGTGCTGTATGCAATCACTGTAGCATAATGATAATGCAATGCAAATCAGGAGCTGTTAAGGGAGAGAGAGTATCTGTGCAGGGAGAGAGGGAGTCTGTGCAGGGAGGGAGGAGGTCTGTGCTGGATGCAATGAAGGAGGGGATCTGTGCAGGGTGCAGGGAGTGAGGGAGGGAGTCTGTGTGGGTGCAGGAAGTGAAGGAGTGTGTCTGTGCGGGTGCAGGGAGTGAATTAGGGGGTCTGTGTGGGTGCAGGGAGTGTGGGAGTGGATCTGCGGATGTAGGGAGTGAGGGAGAGGGTCTGTGTAGGTGCAGGGAGTGAGGGAGGGGATCTGTGTGGGTGCAGGAAGTGAGTGTTAGGGTGCAGAGAGAAACGGGGAGGGGGTCTGTCAGGGGGGAGAGGGCTGTGCAGAGAGGAGCATACCTGGTGTTTCTGCCAGCACTCCACATGACAGGAAAGCACAGGAAGTGACTTCACTTCATATTCCTCGTCCCCTTCTCCTACCCCTCATATAGAGCACTATACGGGGGAGTCCTGGCAAGCAGAGCAGGATTGCTGCCAGGTCTCACTCAGGTGAGAGGAGGGTCACTTCACTGCCTATATTGGATGGAGTAAGGAGGAATCATAGCTTTCTAACTGGACCTTGCCACCCCAAAAATGTGCCACCGGGGGTGGACAGGACCCGCCCCTTGCTACACCACTGTTGCTAGGACCAGTGAGAGGGAAGGTCTGAAATGAAAGAAGGTGCACCACATTGATAAGAGTAAAAGGATACATTTTAGGGACAGCTAGGTGGTATGGCAGTCTGACTGCACACTAAGCTGAGCGCCATCCTCGGGTGCATTCAAAGAGACATTTTAGGCACCATAATCACTTCCTAGCCATTATATTTATTACCATTATTATTGCCATTTATATAGCACCAACAGATTCCGTAGCGCTTTACAATATTTTCAGAGGGTGGATGTAACTATAAATAGGACAATTACTAGAAAATTTACAGGAACAATAGGTTGAAGAGAACCCTGCTCAAACGAGCTTACAGTCTATAGGAGGTGGGGTATAAAACACATTAGGACAGTAAATATCAATCAAATAAGGTGGGAGTGAAGCAGAGCTAGAGGAGAGAGTAAAGTGCTGCCCAGGAGAGAGCAAGAGACAGGTGTGTAAGTTGGAGGTTACTCCGTTACTCTGGGAGGTCATAAGCTTTCCTAAAGAGATGGGATATAAGCCACTTCTTAAAGGATTGAAGACTAGGGGAGAGTCTGATGGCAGTAGGCAGACTATTCCATAGGAAGGGAGCTGTCCGTGAGAAGACCTGCAAGCGTGAGTTGGTCATATGGGTGCGAGCAGCGGTCAGGAGAAGGTCATGGGCACAGCAGAGGGAATAAGGAGGGGCATACCTATGGATCTGTGAAGAGGGGCTCGAATTGTTCAGTGCTTTATATAAATATGGGTTAGTACTTTGAATTGACTCCTATAGGATACAAGAAGCCAATGTAAGGACTGACAGAGGGGTGAAGTGTGAGAGAACCGACTAGAGATGAAAATCAGTCTGGCGGCAGCATTCATTACAGACTGTAGCGGAGCAATACGGCTTTTGGGAAGACCAATCAGGAGAGGGTTACAATAATCCATGCAGGAAATTACTAGAGCATGGACAAGCTCCTTGGTAGCATCTTGTGTAAGAAAGGGGCGGATGCGATCTATGTTTTTAAGTTAGAATCTACAGGATTTAGCAACAAACTGAAGGTGAGGCCAGAGTCAAATATGACGCCAAGACAGTGCTCTTGCAAGTGTGGATTTATGTGGATACCACTGACTTGAAGGGAGAACGAAGGAGGAGGATCAGTATTAGGAGGAGGAAAGACAAGGAGTTCAGTTTTAGAGAGATTGAGTTTTAGAAAGTGGGAGGACATCCAGTCAGAGATGGAAGAAAGGCAAGCAGTGACACGTTGCAGGATGGCAGGGGAGAGGTCCGTGGAGGAGAGATATATTTGGGCACTGGCGTACATACCAGGGTCGCAGGTGTCGCGGCTGCGACCGGGCCCGGCCCACCAGGGGGCCCGGCCGCCCCTGCGACCCGGTATGTAGCCACAGGGCCAGCCTCTTCCCCTGGGGGGCCCAGGAGGCGGCCACCCCAGGGGTTCTCTGAGGCTGGTTCTGAAGAAATACGTAGGAAGCGCGCGTTAGAGTGATTGCAGTTTTTCCTCACAAGACCGCATTCGATACGGAGCCGGAAGATGACGTCTTTCCGGCACCGCACCTTACGCCGCCGCCAGGGAAAGCCGCCGAAGAGGAAGCACTGAGTGCTCACTCGCCCGCCCGCCTGCCTGCCTGCCCGACCGGCCACCCGCCCAGGAGCCTAGCAACACCACTGGACCCCAGGGAATCCCCCCAGCACTCCAAAAGGTAAGGAGGCTGGGGGGATTACATTTTAAACAAACAAACAAACAAACAAACAAACATGTGTTGAGTGAGTGGGAGTGTTAGTGTGTGTGTTAGAGGGAGTGTTAGAGGGAGTGTTAGAGGGAGTGTTAGTGTGTGTGTGTTATAGTGAGTGTGAGTGTTAGTGTGTGTGTGTTAGTGGGAGTGTTAGAGTGAGTGTTAGAGTGAGTGTTAGAGTGAGTGTTAGAGTGAGTGTTAGTGTGTGTGAGTGTTAGAGTGAGTGTTAGTGTCTGTGTCTGCTAGTGTCAGTGAGTGTGTTACTGTGTGTCTTACTGAGTGTGTGTTAGTGAGTCTGTTTGATGTCTGTTAGTGAGTGTGTGTTTGTCAATGATGTATGTTTTGTAAGTGAGTGTGTATGTATGTCTGTCGCTGAGTGTGTCTGTCAGTAAATGTGTGTGTCTGTTAGCTAGTGTGTATGCTTCTGTAAGTGTATGTGTGTGTGTGTCTTCAGCACTTACCTTTCTCCAGTGCCGGACTCCCTTGGCGCTGGGGATCCCTCAGCCTCTCAGCTCCGAATGCGACCGCGCACGCATTCAAACCGCCCATAGGAAAGCATTACTCAATGGTTTCCAGTGACGCTCAGTGTGTTTCCCAGCGGCTGTCAGGTGAGATACAGCCACTAGAAGCTGGATTAACCTCAGGAAACAAAGTTCTCCGGAAACCGCCATGTGTTTCAGCTGCAGGGTTAAAATCCAGAGGGGACCTGGACACCCAGACAACTTCATTGGAGCTGGATGATCTTGGCGCCCGGTAGTGGTCCTTTAAAGGACTGACATGCGCCTGCGGAAAACATACTCTCGCTTTCCCGGCACTATAGTGCCCCGGACGCCCCCAGCCCGGACCCTCCCGCTCCGCTCTGGAAAAGGGCAAAACCGCATCTTTTCCAGCCGCTACGGAGAGCTCTCTTCCCGCCGGTTGTATACACATCGCCGCGCCATTGGCACATGCGATTCAGTTGCAGTCACACAGGAAAGCATTCATAATGCTTTCCTATGGACGCTGGCGTGCTCTCACTGTGAAAATCACAGTGAGAAACACGCAAGCGCCTCTAGTGGCTGTCAATGAGACAGCCACTAGAGGAAATTGGGGAAGGCTTAACCCATTCATAAACATAGCAGTTTCTCTGAAACTGCTGTTTATGAAAAAATGGGTTAACCCTAGCTGGACCTGGCACCCAGACCACTTCATTAAGCTGAAGTGGTCTGGGTGCCTAGAGTGGTCCTTTAAGTGTGTGTGCATCTGCATGCACTGGCGTACATACCGCGGTCGCAGGGGTCGCAGAGTCTCCAAAATCCTCTGCGCACTAGGTGTTACGCCGCTGGGGCCCAATGGATCACCGGCCCCATAGACATGTACGCACCGTATTTGGGTGTCATCAGTGTACAGGTGGTAGTGGAATCTAAAAGAGGTAATAAGTTTGCCAAGAGAGGCAGTATAAAGAGAAAATAGAAGGGGACCAATGATAGAGCCTTGGGGAACTCCAAAAGAGACAGGATGAGGGGAGGGGGTATCCTTGGAAAAGGAGACACTAAATGAGCATTGGGAGAGATAAGAGGAAAACCATGAGAGGACAGAGTCACAGAGACCGAGCGATTGAAGAGTTTAAAGGAGGATAGCATGATCAACGGTATGAAAGGCAGCAGAGAGGTCAAGAAGAATTAATACGGACCTTTGATTTAGCTGCGATTAAGTCATTAGTAACTTTGATAAGAGCAGTCTCAATAGAGTGGAGAGGGCGGAAGTCAGACTGCAGAGGGTCAAGGGGAGAGTTGGAATTGAGAAAGTGAGACACATAGATAAAGACAAGTCTTTCCAGAAGCTTTGAGGAAAAAGGGAGCAGGGATATGGGACAATAGTTAGAAGGTGAGGATGGGTCAAGCAATGTTTTTTTTTCAGGATAGGTACTATAGTGGCATGTTTAAGGTCAGCAGGGACAGCACCAGAAGAGACAGAGCAGTTTAAGTTAGGGAAGGCACAAGATAAGGGGAGAGAGATCTGATGAGGTGAGACTGAACAGGATCGAGCAAGTTATTCGGACGAGAGGAAAGGAGAAGCACAGCCACCTCTTGTTTAGTAGCTGGGGAGAAAGTTTGAAGGGTAGGAAAGGCAATGATTTACGTGTGGTTGAGAAAGAGAATGGCGAGGAGGGGAGAATTCCTTCCGTAGCTGTTCAATCTTGTCTGTAAAGTAGCATGCAAAGCTATCATCTGTAAGGTTAGTTTGGGGGGTGGCCACAGCAGGGCGAAGAAGAGAGTTAAAGGTGTCAAAGAGATGCCTGGGATTGTGGGAGCATGAACTAATGAGAGATTAAAAGTATGACTGTTTGGCGCTGTATCACAATATGAATCTATAATGAAGATAGTCTGTCTGGGTGCGGGACTTCCTCCAGGAGCGTTCAGCACAATGGGAGCAACTCTGCAGATAGCGTGTTGATTCAGTATGCCATGGTTGGGGGCGTGTCTTCCTCGTGGTGCATGTTTGGATCGGGGCTGCAGCGTCCAGGGCAGAGGTGAGGGTAGTGTTATATGTGGAAAAGGCCAGTGAGTAGAGTTGAGCGGACACCTGGCTGCTCACTGTAAAAAAAAACCTATTGTCCCCACCCCTGTGCGAGGGGGGATCCTACTGTCCTCCCCTTGACCCCCAACCCTGAGCGGCGGGTGGGGGCCCTAAATAACAATAAGGGGGGACCTACTGTCCTCCCCCGCAGCCCCCACCCCTGAGTGGTGGGTGGGGGCCATAAATAAGAATTTTGGGGGGGCTACTGTCCTCCCCCCGGTCCCCACCCCTGCGCGGCGGGTGGGGGCCCTAAATAACAATAAGGGGGGGACCTACTGTCTTCCCCCCCAGCCCTCACCCCTGAGCGGTGGGTGGGGGCCATAAATAAGAATTTGGGGGGGACCTACTGTCCTCCCCCCGGCCCCCACCCCTGCGCGACGGGTGGGGGCCCTAAATAACAATAAGGGGGGGAACCTTATGTCCTCCCCCCCGGTCCCCACCCCTGCGTGACAGGTGGGGGCCCTAAATAGGGACATGTTAAAGAAATCGAGCAAATGCAAGTCTCCCAATAGTTCCACTTTTTGGCAGACAGTCACGATTTTGGTTTCCACTCCTGATTTTGTTCCCTGATGTCTCACATCCGAGGGCATAATTAGACACTTTCACGCTTTAAACGGTCGCTAGGATCCAGCAGAAAGCCCTTCCACAGAAATAAATCCAGTTCCTCATTTCTGTGGGATTAGACTGATCAGGAAATGACCTTGAAAAGGTTAAAGCAAACACACAGTTGGAAATTGATAATTTATTGAACATTCTGGGAATCTCTAGTCAAACCACTGATACATTTCCATAAAAAGCATGACCTGTTACCTATAACATTATGTATGGAAGTGAGATGAGAGACTTAATTAACATCTTTACCCTCAAAAATGTCTGTTATAACCACTGCAAACAGAGCCGGATTAAGATTGCCCAGGGCCCTAGACAGGACTTCAGATTCAGTCTCTCTCCTAGAGCCCTGGACCCTCTTCTATGAGTGTAGGGGAGACTGAGTGTTGTGTATGTGTGCAGGGGAGACTGAGTGTTGTGTATGTGTGCAGGGGAGACTGAGTGTTGTGTATGTGTGCAGGGGAGACTGAGTTTTGTGTGTTTCAGGGTGTGTGTGGATGACACTGAAAGCTGCATGGGGGAGATTGAGTGTTGTGTATGTCTTTTGAGAGCCTGTATGTGTAAGGGAAGCCTGAGTGTCGCTGTGTGTTGTGTTTTAGGGAGGCTATATGAGTGGTATCTGAGGCTGAGTGAAGCTTATATTTCTGTTGATCTCTCTGCCGGCTCAGAGAGGCCTCCCTCACACACAGAGAAGCCCCTAAAAACTAGAGGGTCCCTCACTAACAGAGCCAAAGCTCCAGGTCCAGAGAGGCCCATCGTGGACCCTGCCTGAGTATGTGCAGTACGCTACGCTCTGATTAGAAGTGCTACTTACAAAGTAAATGTAGAAGGATAAAGTGACTGTGTTTCATAATTATAACAAACATGTATTCACAGCTATATGTAAAATATGTGCTAATCGTACATAAACCTGCAAGGATTACAGTGTTTCATTTATCTAAATTAGCATTTTCTTACTATTCTTTTATTTTATTTTAGAAATATCATGTGAGTTTAAACACAGCTGCTGAAAGAGAAGACAAGGGAAAACCTCCCAATAAAGAAGATGGCGTTATGAAGAGTGAACGAGATGAGGAAGACACAGATATTTACGTGGAATATTTACCACCGTCCTTATCACCAATTTATTTATATTACCTGGAAAGCAACATGTTATCTGCCCCTGGGGGCAGTAAAGATCCGAATGGTGCGGATGGTTTTAGTTATGGTGGTGGGGCTATGGGTGGTGGACTTGGGAATATAGAAGACAAATTGCCAAAACGTCCAATTTCCCCTGGGGGCAGTAAAGATCCGAATGGTGCGGGTGGTTTTAGTTATGGTGGTGGGGCTATGGGTGGTGGACTTGGGAATATGGAAGACAAATTGCCAAAACGTCCAATTTCGGCAAAGTATAAATATTTCAAATCCCAGTAACCCGAGTTTGCTATTTAAATAATGTCTGACAAAGCTGACACACGTCAGAAGGTCCGCTTGTTCAGTATCTGTATCTTGGTCTATCTGGGGTTAGATAATATCTCTCAGAATGTTTGTTCTGTGTTTCCTGATCCAATACTTGCTTCTTTCCCATAATTCTCTATGTTACCAGCTGTCTGATCCGGTCAATCTACCCATATTCTCTCTGTAAAGCGATGCCACACTTTCATAAACATAGCTCTATTATTGCAATAAATAAATATATATAACAATCAATGTTTCTGTGTTACATTTCATACAGCGCTTTGAATTCTCACTTTAGTGAATAACTCTGATAAGGTACATTTCAGGGATCCATCAATTTGCATAAATATTTTAGTAAAAAAGCTGTCTATTAAAGCAACAGTGATATATTTTCTTCCCAAATCCATCATGAACACTTGTGCTAGACCACAGGATTTTAACAATTTTTGTCAGCGAGTAAAATTACATGGTATTCACTCTATGACCCTTTCTTAAACTGTAACATTGGCTCAGTTACCCATTGTACAGGCGTAATGTTATTAACGTTCTGGGTACCTATTGGAATAGACCAATAGTGTAGACAGGACTCAGTGGAGTATTTTTATTTGCAACCTGATTTTATATATTGAGATAATAATGTGTACTGGTTCTCCTGATAAGTTATAGGACCTTTACTAGATTATTGTTCCAGCAGTTTTGGATCCTCCCTACCTTTTACTGTGGGGTGTAAGCACCTGACTAGCGGATACATTTGTATCAAGGACTATTTTAATACATTTTAACCATTTTTATTCACAACTTGTATTTTTCATTTCCACTGAGTCCTGTCTACACTATTGGTCTATTTTCCAATAGGCACCCAGAACTTTGACAAATTTAACCCAGGGTGGTGGTTATTTCAGACAGTGGTACAGTGGTTATGGTAGTTGCATTTGGTCTCTAATTTTAACTTAAGAAGGTTATTTTACCATTTACTGGTATTTATCCATCATATAGTTACCTATTTACTAGTAATATTATTAACATCTCTCCCGGGCATCATACGGTTTACACAACACCAGGAAAGCAAGCTAACTACAATCAACTTCTTATTGTGAGATTTTTAGGGAGGGATCTGGATTAATTAGGGGACTGGGCAAGCAGGTGTCAGGAGAGATTCAGGGCCATTTTCTGCATTTTGGGGCTAAATGTGCAGCATATACTGCAAGTGGGTTTGAGTTAGGAAACATCTAAAGACTGTGTGCCTACTGGGGTGAACAGAACCTCGACATGTGCTTCTGGAGGAGCCTCCTTGCCAGCCTCCTGCCTCAGGACTATGGGCCCTGGAATATACCTTGCCCAATGCACTTCAAAAGTCTCTGTCCATGTGATTTATGTACTTTTGGACTTCAGAAAGAGAGACTGACCGTTAGCCCTAATTCCCTGGAACTGTTTTGAGCATAGGACAAATTATGACTTCCATGGAAATCCCGAACCCCTGAACCAATCTGGATGATTTTGGGTTATGTTGGTGACCCAGACCGGGGCTATCAGGGGATGTGACTGTTGTGGGGTTTCCATGTGTTTTGGGGATACTTTCAGGATGTTATTAAAATGTATGTTTTCTGTGCCTGGAGATAACTGAGTTTAGTGCAGTTCCTGACTCAATTATCTCTTAGGCACAGGGGAGATTTACCCTGTTTTGTGTGGGAGTGTCCTGGACATGAGAGATAAAATAATTAAAGTGTGTACCTTGTCATAGTTCCCTCTCAGGTCAGTTGGGGAATGCCCCTGGAATATGTTATGGAAAACCCCTTGCATGGGGACCTGCATATATACTCATAATACTCCCTTGGATTATAATCACTAGCTCTTGTAAGAGCTATCCTGCTTTACTCTCTGGATTGCTCTGGGTGGAGGACAGCAAGCCCCAACCAAGCTTTAATGCTGGCTGCGAGGTTATGGTGTATAGTGGAGTGCTTGGAGTTCTCGGTGAGCACTAGGAAGCATCAATTGGCGGAGGCACAGAGCCTAAAATAATGTGTGCCCACCACAGGGTACATATGCACTATAAACCGAGGAAAAATACTGCAACACTTAGCAATAGCTCAGCACACCTCCAAAAAACGATATCATGGCACTAGAAAAAGTGCAGAGACGAGCTACAAAATTGATAAAAGGAATGGAGCATTTTAATTACGAAGAAAGGTTAAAAAATTTAAATCTGTTTAGTTTGAAAAAAACGCCCCTCAGAGGGGATATGGTAACATTATACAAATATATTCGGGGCCAGTACAAACCATTATCTGGAAATTTATTCATAAACTGGGCTATACATAGGACACGTGGTCACACATTTAGGCTGGAAGAAAGGAGATTTCATCTAAGGCAAAGAAAAGGTTTTTTTACAGTAAGAGCAATAAGGATATGGAATTTTCTGCCTGAAGAGGTGGTTTTATCAGAGTCTATACAGATGTTTAAACTGCAATTGGATAAATACTTGCAAAAACATAACATACAGGGATATAATTTCTAATTAGTGGGGTAATAGCTGCTTGATCCAAGGAGACATCTAAATGCTATTTTGGGGTCAAGAAGGAATTTTTTCCTAGTTTGTTGCAAAATTGGAAGCGCTTCACAAAATTTGCCTTCTTTTGGATCAACAGCAAAAACATATGTGAGGAAGGCTAAACTTGATGGATGCAAGTCTCTTTTCAGCTATGTAACTACAGTATATACTCGAGTATAAGTCTAGTTTTTCAGCACATTTTTTGTGCTTAAAAACCCCCACTCGACTTATACTCGAGTCACTGTCTGTATTATGGCAACTTAGAGAGCCGCGGCCGTCAGAGCCATGGCAACGATCCGCGCGGCAACCAGACCGCGAGACTTACAGTGGAGCTGACCGGAACGGAGGAGACAGGAGCTGCAGGAAAGGTAAATAAATGCTTCCTGCCGGCCCCCCCCACTTCACAGCCCATGCCACTGGACCACCAGGGAGTTAACAAGCAGGGAGGGGGGACAAAAAAAAAAATTAAAATAAAAAAATAATAATATTAAAATAAAAAAAATTTAAATAATAAAAATGCCCTCCCCCCACCTAGTTCACACACACTACACAAACACACACTCTGCATTATATACACAGAGTGTGTGTATATAATGCAGAGTGTGTGTTTGTATGAGTGTGTGTGTATATATAATGCAGAGTGTGTGTTTGTATGAGTGTGTGTGTATATAATTATAAAAATCACAGAATTTCATAGCCCCAAGTTTTACCCTCGACTTATCCATGAGGCATAGCATATTTCACAATTATTGGTCACAAAACTGGACTCGACTTATACATGAGATCGACTTATACACGAGTATATACGGTATGTAATGTGTGCCTACACAAGCCACTATGAGGTCAAAAAGACTACTAGGAACCCTGTACTACAAATAGCTACAGTCCTGCTAACCGTAATAAATCCCACATTACCTCAACTCACCACAGTGGATTGCCTACATACCAAAGAAAATAGTCCACACTAAAGCCTGGGAATAAAAAACATAATACTACATACTAAATAAGATAAGTACTACCCAAAATTACAAGAGAAAAATAAATTACAAAAAGACATGCCGACGCGCATTTCGGCATGTAGCACCACGCCTTTGTCAGGGTCATAGGCTGCCGCTGCTAGTTAAGAACCCAGAATAATTAGCCATGTGCCTGTCCTCCAATAGGGAACAAAGGGTGTAAACCTAGGGAGACATTTTCACAATGCATGTAATCCACAGAAAAATATTAGGTATAAAAAAGTGCATATTTATTAATAAAAAAAACATAGACGTATCAAAAATCCATGGTATCATGCTGTCACAGCAGCCCTCATAGATGCTAAAGGTAGTACATACATATCGCACAAAGGCAGAATCGGGCATTGAAGTAGCATAGATTCCCCAACACAGGAGAGAAATAGAAAACTCGAAAAATGTTTATTAGCCGTACTACCTGTTACTGCCAGACAGGGGAGAAACCACCCAGAAGACTACCCTAAAAAAAAGTGTATAGGCCAGGACGCATTTCACACCTTCCCTGGTGCTGCCTCAATATGGGCTTACAGAAGAAATTCCAGAAAATATATAGGAGGTGTCCGTCAGAACGAGACTTCTTAGATTCAAAAGAAGCCCACGCCTTCACTTAATTGCAGTTAGTGCTAAAAACACCCTTTCAATGACGGAGTGTTAGGGCTGGGGAAATTCCTCAATAGTTACCAGCCCCCTATGTCCTCCCACACATAAGAAAAAACCTAGATCATTAAAAAATGGAAGAAAACCTAAACTGTAATCTCAGTGAGATTCCAATTCTCATCAGAAGATGACTTTAAAGTTAGAAATTCTTTCAAAGACGGAACTGATATCAACAAAAGACATATAGCACTCCCTGTCCGAAAGAAGGGAATGCTTCCAATCGTATTGAGGTTGATCACTATAGTGTCAGGAAAACCGCGGCGCTGAAGGGGTTTAAACCTCTTCAGCAGCTTACCTTATTCCAGCGCCGGGCTCTCTCCTCTCCTCCCCCGCCGACGTCAGCTCCCCCGGCCAAATGTGCATGCGCGGCAAGTGCCGTGTGCTCATTCAAAGTGTCCATGGGAAAAAATTTCTCAATACTTTCCTATGGACGCTCTGCGCGATGGAGGTGAAAGACAGCCTCTCGAGGCTGGATTAACCACAAATGTAAACATAGCAGTTTCAGATGGACATTATATGGGGTGAGGGAAGTTTGCTAAAAAAACACTCCGGCATTTCTTATATCCTCAGGGACAAGACAGAGGGGAGAAAGAGATATATTAATGCTCCCCATTAGAGCCCCGAAAAATAATTCTAAGGGTATAGTAAATATCCCCTAGGGATGTGCTCCACAACCTCTTTATTATATTTCCCGGAATGGCATGAAAGTAAATAATGGAACACAAGATCATGACAAATATTGATGAAAAAGGGAGACAAACAAAAGGAAAAAACGTGGTAAAAAGAAGGGGGGAAAATATAATAATATAGTAAGGTAAGATCGAGGGGAAAAATCAGAAGGAAGAGCAATTACATAGAAATATAGAATGTGACGGCAGATAAGAACCATTCGGCCCATCTTGTCTGCCCAATTTTCTAAATACTTCCATTAGTCCCTGGCCTTATCTTATAGTTAGGATAGCCTTATGCCTATCCCACGCATGCTTAAACTCCTTTACTGTGTTAACCTCTACCACTTCAGCTGGAAGGCTATTCCATTCATCCACTACCCTCTCAATAAAGTAAGATATTATTGTAGCGGAGAGCTGGTATTACACAGCTTACCTCCATTTTAGATCCCAGGGAGACTCAGGAACAGCAATTAGAAATCCATAGGGCAGAGTATCCAGCAGGCAAAATAATACAGCAATATCCCAACAGCAATCACAATAACTGGACGACACACAGTATCAGGAGCAGAACTAAAGATTTATTCACACAGTGGCCTTATAAAGCATGCTTCCATGCAAGGGAGGGATTTCCATTCATTAGTACAGTAGCCAATCCTGTCCCGGTAACCTCCCACACATCTCCTCCCCTCAGCCTGCATCATAATCCCCTTATCCAGGATACCGATTCCCCCCGTTTCTGGATGTACCCCTAAACAAAGGGGTACCACTTTAAATTATACATCCCCTGGTAGCCCTGATCTGGGTGAACAACATATCCAAAAATCACCCAGATCAGGTGAATCACACACGAAAGGCTCCAGTTGTAGAGACTAGGGGGGGTTTGCCGGAATCCCCTCGTTCGGTTGCTTCTGTCTACCGGTAGTTTGGAACCAAACAGACCGGGCTCGTGGAGGTCTCAGCGATGTTCGCCTAGTCGAGTGTCCGATTTGAGTTCCAGACACTCGACGGTAAAACACAGCTGTTCGGGAGTTTTAAAATGGCCGCCGCCACGTGTTCTTTTCCCGAATGGCAGCCACCCCCGAGAACAAAGGACTACTGTACAGCTTGGCAATTAACCGTTCGCAACAATGTTGCAACGGTTAATTGGAGGCACACTTCACACCGGGGAGGTCTGGCTGTTCAGTAGTTTCATTCCCTTATTTGTTATAATGAAACTACCGAACAAACAGACGAACATAGTACATTAAACACATAGAATTTGTTAAACAGACGAATACAGTTCACATGAATGCAATTTTCAGGACAGCCCAGTGCCATCCGCTACAATTATTTTTAAACCTTTGCCCCTCTAATTTAAGACTATGTCCTCTTGTTGTGGTAGTTTTTCTTCTTTTAAATATAGTCTCCTCCTTTACTGTGTTGATTCCTTTTATGTATTTAAATGTTTCTATCATATCCCCCCTGTCTCGTCTTTCCTCCAAGCTATACATGTTAAGATCCTTTAACCTTTCCTGGTAAGTTTTATCCCGCAATCCATGAACCAGTTTAGTAGCCCTTCTCTGAACTCTCTAAAGTATCAATATCCTTCTGGAGATACGGTCTCCAGTACTGTGTACAATACTCCAAGTGAGGTCTCACCAGTGTTCTGTACAATGGCATGAGCACTTCCTCTTTCTACTGCTAATACCTCTCCCTATACAACCAAGCATTCTGCTAGCATTTCCTGCTGCTCTATTACATTGTCTGCCTACCTTTAAGTCATCAGAAATAATCACCCCTAAATACCTTTCCTCATATGTTGAGGTTAGGACTCTATCAAATATTCTGTACTCTGCCCTTGGGTTTTTACGTCCAAGATGCATTAAATTGCACTTATCCACATTAGATGTCAGTTGCCACAACTCTGACCATAGTTCTGATTTTGCTAAATCATTTGACATTTGGCTTATCCCTCCTGGAACATAAACCCTGTTACATATCTTAGTATCATCAGCAAAAAGACATACCTTACCATTAAGACCTTCTGCAATATCACTAATAAAAATATTAAAGAGAATGGGTCCAAGTACAGATCCCTGAGGTACCCCACTGGTAACAAGCCCAAGCTTTGAATATACTCCATTGACTACAACCCTCTGTTGCCTGTCACTCAGCCACTGCCTTACCCATTGAGGCAACAAATTATCTCTTCTATGTAAGAGGGCAATTGAATCCAAGGACATGTGAATAATATGTTACAGACCACTTTCCGATTATATAAAATTGATTGAGTGGTATTGTATATACATAGAATGGTCTCATATAAATGAAAAAACAAAACGTAACTGTCCAGGTGGCCAATCCACCATGCCTCTCATTAAAGTGGCATGATACCGGGGTCTCTAATCTGCCGCATACTGAATTAGCAATCTCTAGTGTGAATTCTAAAGTGGTAAAAGGTTTCCCCCCATATATAGCAATCTGCATGAGCAAGTAAGCAGATAGATGAACCCCTTGTTAGGCAATTAAAGAAGGAGCGTGCTCTGCACTCGACTGAGTTGTCACTCTCTTTACAGGTTTTAGACTGGCGTTTAATGTACCTACAAGTAGTACAATGCCCACATTGATATATGCTCAAAGAGCATATTAGACAGACTACACTTCCAATGAATATACAGATTCCTATCAACATACTGTGTGAAGGGAGACACTGGGTACGGAGAGGGCTTGTCCACAGGCTTGCAATCTACAGGGGACATGAGTTATAGTGATAGGTTGCTTCTCACAATATATTGATCTAGAAGGAAAAGGTGAAACACAAGCAGATATAAAAGTGATTATTCCTCTAACCAGCGGAAGACAGCCCCAGTGGAGGTACTGCCCCGAATGAAATCGAGCAATAGGTCTCAACACGCAGATCATATCCACCAGGCCCCAATAAAACGTTTATTATAGCAACTCTGTCTCCCTCACTGCAAGTGTGGACCCTTCTGATACCATAAAAAGCCTTACGAGGGGACTTTACAGAATTCATTGTGTTATGTATCACGTTACAGATGAAGGACGAGTCGATGAGATGATTCCATTAATGGAATGTGGGTCCTTATTAAAAAGGTTACAAATCACAATGGGAGAGGCTGTTGATCTTGTTCCCAAGCTAACTGGTGACAATGCCAAACCATCAGCCGAGTCCGTGGTAAATTCCCCAGGGATAATCATTTCTTGTAAACACCTTCAGTGCTTATTATAACATTTTAAAATGTTTCATGTGCAACTTTGCATGAAGAGAACACTATAGAGTCGACGAACCAGTATATTATCTCAGCAAACAGAAGAAAATCACTTTCAGGAGAAACAGAGCTTAATCAGAAACAAGGACTGCGCTGCTTGAATGTGTAGCGGTACTTACTTTACCCGGGGGCTGGCCGAGGTCCTCTCTTCCCGCCGCGCGCGAGATGCGGTCACGCGTCCCGCCTAGCTCTAAGAGCGTGCCGCGCGTCTCGGGCATGCTCTTAAAGGGGCAGTGGGAGCCAAAAAATACAACGGTCTCCCATTGGCCCCTGTCATCCCACATTCCCCATACACTCACATTTTGGGGGCGTGGATATGACAGGGGCTAATCAAAGTAAAGGTTAGGGTATTTTTACTTACCTCTCCCTTAACTCCCTGCCCTATCGTGGTTTCTGTTTCAGTTCCCTTTAGCGCTTGTTGTGTTCAGTTGTGATTTTCGTGCTTGACCTTGGCTTTGTATCTGACTTTATCTCTCTATCCCTGTTTTGTCTTGTTTGCCGGCTTACTGTCTACTGTGTACCAGACCTTGGCTAGTTTTTTTTCTCGCAGTCTCTTTGTTCCCTTGACCTCGGCTCATTCTTGACTCTGTCTATTCTCTGCTATACGGCGAGTCCAGCCATTCTAAGGTCCGGTAAGACGTATCTGCTCTATCTGTCGATTGTTGGACTAAATCTTGCGTGTTGGGGTAAACTACCATGACAGAATGTCTCCAGGAATGTCTACTGCGAAGATAGAAATAAATAGAAATAAAACAATATTTCAAATAAAGTTAACATGAAATATTAAAAGACTAAGCTCAGTTATTTTCCCATTTTGTGTTGACGCTCTCAGTCAATGAATGCGGCCCTTCTTAGGTGAGTGTGGCTATCTGGATTCTCTTTGCAGGAGAAGAGGGGGCAAAATTTAATAACAGTAGACACTAATTTATGTATTTATTTATTTATTTAACAGTTTCTACATAGAGCTAAGATGCTTTAAAAGATGAATATAATAAGATAATGATAGACCATGAATGCCATTGGAATATTATACAGATATAATCACATAACGCCTTGTAATCAGGTCAGACTGGGCTGACAGAAAGGAGTTTACATTAGCAGGCACATTGATTATATTATTATTGCGTTTATACAGCTGGAGCACTTGCACAATAATTAACGAGTGAAGAGAACAATTATTATTTTAATATAAAGACAAGTGGAATTCTAGATCAACCATAGATATATGCGTGCTATTCTATGAAGATTTGCTGTCTCTACGGAGAACATGAAAAAAGTAAAAAAAACTATCAGTAAAGATTTCGTTCACTCCATTGGAAGGCTACATTAATAATAAAAACACCATAATCTGTCTACTAATATTTATTAAGAGACAAAACACACAGCTACGTACAAATGCTATCTAGAGCAACATACCCAATACTTAAATATTATTAAATCCATAAAACACACAAAGGGCTGGTGGGGGACAATTCCCCCAGGGGTTGTTACCTGCACCCACCCACCATTAAAATAGCAGGAGGTGTATTGAGAAATCTGTTAGCATAGTACTTCAAGAATTAGGGTGTGCTTGGGTTGGTGGCCTGCAATATCAATTATCATTAAGTTATTATTTTTATAGTGCCAACAAATTCCACAGCGCTTTACAGTGGGTGGACGAACCACAATGTAGTTGTAACCAGATGTAGCGGAGTAGTAGTATTATCCATGGTAGCTCCGCTGGCAGACAGAATAAAGCAGGTTCAAAGCAGGTAAAATCCAGGTAGCGTAGTTACAATCCCTTTCTCCCAAGACGACATATAGCTTGGAGGTCAACTGAGGTTTTAATCATAGGTCACAGTATTTATGTGGTTACTAATGTAAGGGGTTTCCCAAGTCACATTACAGGGTTTGTCCAGTAGGGGACTACATGGGGGACTGAGTTTTACAGACTGATTACCCATCATACACTGCTGTACCAAGGAGATAATTACCCCAGAATGCATTGCTAATGGGATTATCTCTTGGTACAGAGAAATACAATTTTTACATTAAAATCCATAACCGGCATAATATTCCTGCTAGGCAGCTACTAAACCCTTTATTACATAGCTGGGACATGAGCGCACAGTTAAGGGAACTTGCGCTCAGATCCCCGCACAAATAACCGAACGCGGTTCATTTTACCGTATCAGGACCACTTAGTTTAAAACGGTTGTATTAACTGAGGGAATAAAAGTCCTGAAAGCAGAAAAGTCCCGAACGGCTCGGACGTCCAGTTTTCCGCAAACAAAGATGGCCGCCGCCACGTGTTCGGTACATGAATGGCGGCCACCCGCAACAGACCTCAATTAGCACGGATCCATTGATGCAAAGTACCTAATTGGAGACACACGCCCTGCTAAGGGTGGTCTCCCATTCGGTACTTTGCTTATTCCACGAACAGTGCGGTGATTCATGGATAATCAAGCTGAACACTAGCGTTATTCGTGTGCTGTAACACACTAATGCTGCATACATTGATCTTTTATTCGGTGAACTACACAATACGGGTAATAGCATAAAATATACAGTTATACTCTATAAGTGGCTAGATTTGCCACACCAGACAAGTTGGACACACAAGAACAGAGGGGATGAGGCCCTGCTCAATTACATGCTAGAGGGAGGGGGGTAAAGTGACACAAAAGATAAGGATAGTATTAGACTAGTGACAGTTGCAAGAGAGGAATCAGTCGGGAGCTATTAACAGTTTAATTGATACGCTTTTATTAAGAAGGGGATTTTTAATGATTTTTTTGAAGGAGTGGAGACTGGGTGAGCATCTAACGGAGGAGGGAAGTGAGTTCCACAGGAAAGGTGAACCCTGGAGAAGTATTGAAGGTGCGCACCGGAGGTGGGAGTACAGACAGAAGAATTCCATTTTTTATGTATATCTCTATTTTACTTTGATCATTTTTTATATACTGTTTTGTTCCTACAAATAAAGTTTGTTCCGTGACTTATTCCATACTTCTCCAGTGAAGGGGCCCCTCACTGGAGATATTTAGACATTTTCACGGAATTTGAATTTCTTAGATATTATGTTCTACTTGATTGTTCAATAAACGTCCTTTACTTAAATTATCAATGTTGGTATATTATATATATATAATTGTACTATCTAGCTGGGCCTCCTAGCAAGTCATTTCTATACCTTAGATTGTTAGTATCTAAGTTGCTACACTGTTATCTTATCACACAGTTGAATAGATTGGGCAGACTAGATGGGCCGAATGGTTCTTATCTGCCGTCACATTCTATGTTTCTATGTTTCTAGATACTTATCCTCTTATAGACTGACCTAGCAGTAGACATTTATAGAACGTACGAAGTGGTATCCTTTTATATGTGATTCTTACTTGAGATTATTTGATCTCTTTTTGGCTGGAACTGATTTTGAGTTTATTGGAGCGCTCACTAATACACTCGTTTTATCCGTTTTAATAACTATTAGGCGCTGGTTGTTGTATTGTGAAGCAGCCCATTTAAAGTTACACTACCTATTTATTTTTTGCTATTTATAATGATTCAGTAACCAGCTATTTTTCATTTGACTATACATCTCTAGTTTTATTAAGTATCCCCTTATAATTCCTGGGGAAGTATCCATGAGATTATTTTCAATGAAATATAGAGAATTCATCTTGGAACTGTATTCTCAATTTCCTTTAGAGTTAAGTAAACAGTAAGTCTCTATGGCGGTTTGGAGTTTAATTTAAATTCATCTTTAAGTTTAATCACATTTTGAAATGAATTAATTTTGAAATGAATGCCTTAACATGATTCATGTTCATTAATTAGACATGCAGTAAATGGGTCAGACTTTAAATACTATATAAAGCGAAACATGATTGCCGTTCAGTATTACTCTGCAGGATCACACAACATGAACACGAATCGTACAACCTCTTATCATTCTGTCTATTCCAGGGACACCATGAAAACTCCGGGACGCCCACAGTTCGATCAAGGAAACTCAGCGGTAAGTGTAACTCAGTAAGGGCTGATACAGAGGTAGGTAGGCTGTATAACACAGGCAGTATACAGGTGATACTCGAAAAATTAGAATATCGTGCAAAAGTTCATTTATTTCAGTAATGCAACGTAAAAGGGAAACTAATATATGAGATAGACGCATTACATGCAAAGCAAGATAGTTCAAGCCGGGATTTGTCAGAAGTGTGATGATTATGGCTTACAGCTCATATTTACATTTTTCGAGTATCACCTTTATTTATGGATCCTGCCATATGAGGAATATGGGGCTGGAACTGTCACTCCAAGAGAGACTTATATCACAATAGGAGATACACTTTTTATTTATTTTTATGTAGAAAGTTTTTTATTACTTTTAATTACAAAAAATCAAATACAACATTGAAACATTAAAAATTAATAATACATGAAGTATGATAAATGTGGATCTTCCTTCCCATCGACATCTAAATAAGTTACATTCTAACTTGTCAAACTTTGTCCTGTGGCTGCGAAAGATATTTCCTGTCTGATTCTTCCCTTCCCTCCCATGGCCACAAGAGGGCAGTGTGTTTGTCTGTCTACAGAGCAAGCCAGACACTCCCCCTTCCCTCCTGCTCGCAGTGTCAGACCCTCCCCCTACCCTCCTGCTCGCAGTGCCAGACCCTCCCCCTTCCCTCCTGCTCGCAGTGTCAGACCCTCCCCCTTCCCTCCTGCTCGCAGTGTCAGACCCTCCCCCTTCCCTCCTGCTCGCAGTGTCATACCCTCCCCCTTCCCTCCTGCTTGCAGTGTCATACCCTCCCCCTTCCCTCCTGCTCGCAGTGTCAGTCACTCCCCCTTCCCTCCTGCTCGCAGTGTCAGACCCTCCCCCTTCCCTCCAGCTCGCAGTGTCATACCCTCCCCCTTCCCTCCTGCTCGCAGTGCCAGACCCTCCCACTTCCCTCCTGCTCGCAGTGTCAGACACTCCCCCTTCCCTCCTGCTCGCAGTGTCAGACTCTCTCCCTTCACTCCTGCTCGCAGTGCCCCTTCCCTTCTGCTCGCAGTGCCATACCTTCCCACTTCCCTTCTGCTCGCAGTGCCAGACCCTCCCACTTCCTTTCTGCTCGCAGTGCCATACCCTCCCCCTTCCCTTCTGCTCGCAGTGCCATACCCTCCCACTTCCCTTCTGCTCGCAGTGCCATACCCTCCCCCTTCCCTTTTGCTCGCAGTGCCATACCCTCCCCCTTCCCTCCTGTTTGCAGTGCCAGATCCTCCCCCTTCCCTTCTGCTCGCAGTGCCAGACCCTCCCCCTTCCCCTTTTGTTTGCACTGCCAGATCTTCCCCCTTCTCTTCTGCTCGCAGTGCCAGACCCTCCCCCTACCCCTTTTGCTTGCAAATTAGGGTAGGCAGTGTATAAAATTAGGAGAGGGAGGGGGACCTTGTATTAAATTAGGGGAGGGCAGTGTATTAAATTAGGGGAAGGAGGGGGACCGTGTATTAAATTAGGGGATGGCAGTGTATTAAATTAGGGGAGGGAGGGGGACCGTGTATTAAATTAGGGGAGGGCAGTGTATTAAATTAGGGGAGGGAGGGGGACCGTGTATTAAATTAGGGGAGGGCAGTGTATTAAATTAGGGGAGGGAGGGGGACCGTGTATTAAATTAGGGGAGGGCAGTGTATTAAATTAGGGGAGGGAGGGGGGGCATTGTGTTAAAATAGGCAGGTGGGCAGTGTATTAGGGTGATGAGAGTTGGTAGTGTATTAGAGTGGTGAGGGGTGGCAGTTTATTAGAGTGGTGGAAGGGGGGCAGTGTATTATAGTGGCTGGGGAGGGCAGTGTATTAGGGTGACGAGAGTGGGCAGTGTATTAAGGTGGTAAAGGGTGGCAGTTTATTAGAGTGGCGAAAGGGGGGCAGTGTGTTATAGTGGCTGGGGAGGGCAGTGTATTAGAGTGGTGGGGGGACAGTGTGTTAAATTGGGGGTAGAGCGGTGTATTAAATTAGTGGAGGGAGGGGCCAGTGTATTAAATTGGGACTGGGAGGTTAGTGTATTAAATTATAGTGGTGGGAGTGGGGGCAGTGTGTTAAATTGGAGGAGGGGGCAGTGTATTAGAATCAGGCCCGGACTGGCCATCGGGCATACCGGGCAAATGCCCGGTGGGCCGCGGTGGCCGTGGGGCCGAGGCCAGCAGGGGAGGTCACAGGATCTCCCCTGCCGGTCTATGCAGGGCCGGCGCTATCCGAGCGCCGGCCCCGCTGTCTTCCATGGAGGGCCGGTGGGGAGATCAAAGATCTCCCTCACCGGCCCACATGCTCAAACGCGGCCGCCGGCGGGGGGAGAGGGAGGGAGACAGCCGCCAGGAGAGAGGACCCGGCGGAGCTCTAACTTGCAGCTCCGCCGGGATTCTCTCGCGAGATCCGGACCGTTGCTATGGCAACTGGCCGGGTCTCGCGAGAGTGAACTCTAGCCCCAAAGGGCTAGAGTTCACTTACCACGAGGACCACCAGGGATGGCTGGCAGGAGCACGACCCCCCCCCCCTTCCAGGCTACAGGTAAGAATAGAGGGAGGGGGGAGAAGGGGGGGGATATAATGTATTTATTTTTATTATTATTATTATTTATTATTATGTATTTATTTTTATTATTTATTATTTATTATTATTATTTATTATTATGTATTTATTTTTATTATTTATTATTATTATTTATTATTATGTATTTATTATTATTATTATTTATTATTTTTATTATTATTATTATTATTTATTATTATTTATTATTATTATTTATTATTATGTATTTATTATTATTTTTAGTAAAACATTAATAGTGCCATTTACCTGCCTCCCCCAATACAAAATCCTTGCAAACACACACATCACCCTCACCCAGCACCCTAACACATACACAGCACCCTAACACACACACACACAGCACCCTAACACCAGCACCCTAACATTGACACAGCACCCCAACACACACAGCACCCTAACATTGACACAGACCCTAACACACACACAGCACCCTAACACCAGCACCCTAACATTGACACAGCACCCTAACACACACACAGCACCCTAACACCAGCACCCTAACATTGACACAGAACCCTAACACACACACAGCACCCCAACACACACACAGCACCCTAACACCAGCACCCTAACATTGACACATCACCCTAACACACACACAGCACCGTAGCACTCACACAACACCCTAACACACACACAGCACCCCAACACACACACACACACACAGCACCCTAACACCAGCACCCTAACATTGACACAGCACCCTAACACACACACAGCACCCTAACACCAGCACCCTAACATTGACACAGCACCCTAACACCAGCACCCCAACATTGACACAGAACCCTAACACACACACAGCACCCTAACACCAGCACCCTAACATTGACACAGCACCCTAACACACACACAGCACCCTAACACCAGCACCCTAACATTGACACAGAACCCTAACACACACAGCACCCCAACACACACACAGCACCCTAACACCAGCACCCTAACATTGACACATCACCCTAACACACACACAGCACCGTAGCACTCACACAACACCCTAACACACACACAGCACCCCAACACACACACACACACACAGCACCCTAACACCAGCACCCTAACATTGACACAGCACCCTAACACACACACACAGCACCCTAACACCAGCACCCTAACATTGACACAGCACCCTAAAACACACACAGCACCCTAACACATACAGCAACCTAGCACACACACACACCACCCCAACACATACACAGCACACACAGCACCCCAACACACACAGCACCCCAACACACACAGCACCCCAACACACATCACCCTCACACACACACACATCACCCTCAAATACACAGAACCCTCGCACAGTGCCCTCACACACAGCACCCTCACACACAGCACCCTCACACACACATACTGCACCCCCCCACACAAACAGCACCTTCCCACACACACTATACTCCTCACAAATGCACAATACACCCCTCACACACACAGCACCCCCCAAACACACTGCGCCAGTCACACACTCACTAGATCTCCTATACGCACTCCTGAGTCCTTCAAACACACACTAGATCCCCTACACACAGACGCTGCACCACTTACACACAGACTACATTTCTGACATACACACTCAGGATCCCCTATGAACACACTAGATATCCTTTAAGCAAACACATAGTGTCTCCATAAATGGGATACATTGAGTATTCCAATTACGGAAACCCCTGAGACAAGTTTCAAGCAAACACAATGCAAGCATGTTATTAAATTTGCTTGCGCTGTGCAGATCAAATACAGGGCCCTTTTCTCATGCCCTGGAAGAGCATTGAACCAACATGCTCACTTTGAGATGGGGTGTGCTTGTCATTGGGGATGACAAAACACAACCTATCTGGCCCTGCCCCCTTTTCAGTGGGCCGCTGTAATTAAAAATGCCCGGGCCGAATTTTTTCCCCAGTCCGGCCCTGATTAGAATGGTGAGAGGGGACGGTGTGTTAAATTGTGGGTAAGGCAGTTTATAAAATTTGGGGAGGAAAGGGGGAAGTGTATGAAATTAGAGTGGTGGGGGGGCTGTGTATTCAATTAGAGTGGAGGGAGGAGAGGCAGTGTATTAGATTAAGGGGCAGTGTATTAGTTTAGGAAGATGGGGCAATGTATTAGAGAGGTGAGAGGGGCGGTGTGTTAAATTGTGGGTAAGGCAGATTATTAAATTTGGGGGGAGGGAGGGCAGTGTATTAAATTACAGTGGAGGGAGGAGGGGCAGTGTGTTAGATTAAGGGGCAGTGTATGAGATTGGGAGGAGGGGGCAGTGTATTAGAGTGGTGAGAGGGGGCGGTGTGTTAAATTGTGGGTAAGGCAGTTTCTTAAATTTGGGGCGGGCAGTGTATTAAATTAGAGTGATGGGGGCAGTGTATTCAATTAGAGTGGAGGGAGAAGGGGCAGTGTATTAGATTAAGGGGCAGTGTATTAGATTGGGGGAGGGGCAGTATATTGGATTTATGGGTAGTGTATTAGAATGGGGGAGGGGACAGTGTATTAAATTGGGTGACGGGGCAGTGTATAAAAGTGGAGGAAGAGGGCAGTGTGGAGGGAGTGGAGGGAGGGGGTAGTGTATAAAAATGGGGGGAAGGGGCAGTGTATGAGATTGGGTCTGCATTGAGGTGCTGAACGCTCCCCAGGGAGATGCTGATTGGCCGCGCAGCTTTTTGCCACACATGCACAATAGCCTCCCAATGCTTTTGAAGAACAAAGTGAAGAACACACTCATAGGACTTCCAAATAAACAAGATAACGTAATTTGTTTTTTACAGCTGTGTAACAGCATACATTCACCATTTCAATCCCATTACCAAACATTTCTTAATATGTCAAAGTAGTTGGACTGAAGCATTGGTTATATGCAAATGCATGTCTACTTAAAATAAATCCGCACTTTCGTTTACTTTGAAGCCCTACGAGCGTGAGGACATCCAGTGTTAGTTAAAGGGACACTCCAGGTAGCCCTTTTTACTCACCTGGTTCCAGCGCTGGGAGCCTCGTGAAGCCGCGCCCCCTATTTCGTCAAAATGACAAAATAGGCGGGTGCGAGCAGGGAGCATCAGATGCTTCCATTCGGAAGCGTCATTGCTCCCTTGTGCGCATTCACGGCTTCGCCACACATGTGCACATACTTCATAGGGCGGCATTAATGGCGCCCTATGAAGTCCTGAGCGCACTACCGCGAATGCCCGCGGTGTGCGCGGCCGCAAGCTGAGCTGACTGACAGCTCAGCTCACGGTCTTTGCCCGCCCCCTCTCCTCTGCTGACAGGCAGGAGAGAGAAGGCGCGCACACAGTATTTTAATACGTCTGACGTGTACATGGCCTTTTTAGTGCCATACGTGATAGGAAGTCCCTCTGGTGGCCGTCTAAGTGACGGCCACTGGAGGTATTCCTATCAATCAATGTAAACACTGTATTTTCTATGACAATACAGTGTTTACATTTGATTGCCTGCAGGGAGCTATAGTTCTCACCTGAACAACTACATTAAGCTGTATACTATGCTATACATTAAGCTGTATACTATACATTAAGCTGTAGTTGTTCAGGTGACTATAGTGTCCCTTTAAGCAACTTTTTAAATCTGTTTCTTTGTTCTATTTATTTCCAATGTTAAAGGATCACTATAGTGCCAGCCACTTACCTTATTCCAGCGCCGGGCTCCCTCGGCACTGGTGACCTCTCCTTCCCCGCCGATGTCAGCTCCCCAGTCCAACGTCTCAATGCTTTCCTATGGACGCTCTGCGCGATTGAGGCATAATATGCCTCCAGCGGCGCAGATGCGCCTCTAGTGGCTGTCCGGAAGCAGCCACTAGAGGCTGGCTTAACCCGAAATGTAAACATAGCAGTTTTCTGAAACTGCTATGTTTGCATCTGAAGGGTTAAAACCTGAGGGACCTGGCACCCAGACCACTTCATTGAGCTGAAGTGGTCTCGTGACTATAGTGTCCCTTTAAGTTATTATTGACAAAAATGTTATTTTGTCTATTTAGACTTTCCAATACTATATACAACTGCGGTAGAGTATTTATTTGATTCTTCTTTGATATGAGCATCTCTACCTATCAGATTCAATATCCCTTAAGTTAAATTTTTAGCAAAAAATTGCTTCGTTAGTTTTAATAAATCATCAACATTATTTTTACTCCAATATATTACACTGGGGGAATACAACAGCTCACACTGGAGGGAACACAGCAGCTCACACTGGGGGAACACAGCAGCTCACACTGGGGGGGGGGACACAGCAGCTCACACTGGGAACACAGCCTCACACTGAGGAACACAGCACCACACTGGGGGAACACAGTAGCACAGGAACACAGCTGGGGGAACACAGCAGCTCACACCAAACACAGCAGCTCACACTGGGGGGGAACACAGCTCACACTGCTCACACTGGGGAACACGCAGCTCACACTGGGGAACACAGCAGCTCACACTGGAGGGAAAACAGCAGCTCACACTGGGGGAACACAGCAGCTCACACTGGGGGGAACACAGCAGCTCACACTGGAGGAACACAGCAGCTCACACTGGGACACAGCAGCTCACACTGGAGGGAACACAGCAGCTCACACTGGAGAGGCTCAACTGGGGGGAACAGCAGCTCACACTGGGGGGAACACAGCAGCTCACACTGGAGGGGAAAACAGCAGCTCACACTGCACAGCAGCTCACACTGGGGGGAACACAGCAGCTCACACTGCACAGCAGCTCACACTGAGGGAAAACAGCAGCTCACACTGGGGAACACAGCAACTTACACTGGGAGGAACACAGCAGCTCACACTGGGAGGAACACAGCAGCTCACACTGGGAGGAACACAGCAGCTCACACTGGGGGGAACACAGCAGCTCACACTGGAGGGAACACAGCAGCTCACACTGGGAGGAACACAGCAGCTCACACTGGGGGGAACACAGCAGCTCACACTGGGGGAACACAGCAGCTCACACTGGAGGGAAAACAGCAGCTCACACTGGAGGGAAAACAGCAGCTCACACTGGGGGGAACACAACAGCTCACACTGGGGGGGAACACAACAGCTCACACTGGGGGGGAACACAGCAGCTCACACTGGAGGGAATACAGCAGCTCACACTGGGGGAACACAGCAGCTCACACTGGAGGGAAACAGCAGCTCACACTGGGGGGGAACACAGCAGCTCACACTGGGGGGAACACAGAATAAAATGTTATTATTCGATAAAACACAGATAATCCTGTATAAAATAAACAGAGGTATATTAAAATACATTAATTAAATCGAGATATATTGGATGTTCAGATCACTGAAGTGGTCATGGTGCTTGGAGTAACACAATAAGGGAAGTAATATGTACAAAGAAGATATAACCAGTTATGGTCTGTTAATTTATCTATTAATTCAAAATGTTCAGAATTGATACTTGTGATAATATTCAATGGAGAAAATGTAAAACAATGGCAGCATGTTAAAAGACATTAGTTTGTAAAAATTGTCATAATATTAACGAACATTAGATGGCGCTGTGATGTCTTAAATGACTCTATGGATTTGTAAATCAGTTTAATCACTGCCATGAGTTCTGAATTGGAAATGTTTTTGTAGTTGATAGAAATGATTATATTGTCATTGTGTGAATACATTTTAGGGACAGCTAGGTGGTGTGACACCCTGAATGTACACCAATCTGAGTGCATTCCTTAGAAGCAGGGAGGAATTGAATTGCATTGGAAGTGCCTGTCTCAGCCATGCCATGCCAGTGATCAGTGTTTTTGTATTTGGTCAGTTCTTTATATGGAGAAGGGAGGCATGCAAAGCATGACTTGTTACCTATAACATTATGTATGGAAATAAGATGAGAGACTTCATTAACATATTTACCCTCAAAAATGTCTGTTATAACCACTGCAAACAGAGCCGGATTAAGATCGCCCAGGGCCCTAGACAGGATTTTAGATTGGGGCCCTCTCCTAGAGCCGTGGACCCTCCTCTCTTAGTGTTTTGTCATGTGGCTAAGTTCTGTGTGTGTTTAGGGGAGACTGAGTGTTGTGTGTATGGAGAGCCTGTATGTGTAGGGGAGCATGAATGTTGTGTGTATATGTGTGTGTGTGTGTGTGTGTATAGGGGAGACTGAGTGCTGTGTGTGTGTAGGGGAAGACTGAGTGTTGTGTGTGTTTAGGGGCGAGACTGAGTGTTGTGTGTGTGTAGGGGAGACAGTGTTGTGTGTGTGTGTAGGGGAGACTGAGTGTTATGTGTGTGTGTGTGTGTGTGTGTGTGTGTGTAGGGGAGACTGAGTGTTATGTGTGTGTATGGAGAGCCTGTATGTGTAGGGGAGACTGAGTGTTGTGTGTGTGTGTGTGTAGGGGAGACTGAGTTTTGTGTGTGTGTAAGGGAGACTGAGTTTTGTGTGTTTCAGGGTGTGTGTGGATGACACTGAAAGCTGCATGGAGAGGTTGAGTGTGCTTGTGTGTGCTGGTTGAGTGGGGAGTAGTCTGAGTGTTGTTTATGTGTAAGGGGAGCCTGAGTGTTGCTGTGTGCAGTGTTTTGGGGAGGCTATATGAGTGGTATCTGAGGTTGAGTGAAGCTTATATTTCTATTGATCTCTCTGCCGGCTCAGAGAGGCCTCTCTCACAAACAGAGAAGCCCCTAAAAACCAAAGGACCCCTCACAAACAGAGCTAATGCTCCAGTCCCAGACTGGCCAGAATGTTGCAGAGGACACACGGATAGTAGTGGGGCCTGTGCACTATGCTACGCTTTGATTGGAAGTGCAATTTACAATAAAGGTGCAATAAACGTAGAAGGACAAAGTGACTGCGTTTCATAATTATAACAAACATGTATCCACAGCTATATGTAAAATAGATGTTAATCTTACATAAACCTGCGAGGATTACAGTGTTTCATTTATCTAAATTAGCATTTTCTTACTATTCTTTTATTTTATTTTAGAAATATCATGTGAGTTTAAACACAGCTGCTGAAAGAGAAGACAAGGGAAAACCTCCCAATAAAGAAGATGGCGTTATGAAGAGTAAACGAGATGAGGAAGACACAGATATTTACGTGGAATATTTACCACCGTCCTTATCACCAATTTATTTATATTACCTGGAAAGCAACATGTTATCTGCCACTGGGGGCAGGAAAGGTCCTGAGGGTGGGGGTTACAGTTTGGGGGTTGGAAGTGGGGATTTGATGCGTAATATGAGTTTAGAAACCATAGATAATGAATTGCCAAAACGTCCAATTTCGGCAAAGTATAAATATTTCAAATCCAGCAACCAGAGTTTGCTATTTAAATAATGTCTGACAAAGCTGACACACGTCTTCTCCTCCAGAAGGTCCACTTGTTCAGTATCTGTATCTTGGTCTATCTGGGGTTAGATAATATCTCTCAGAATGTTTGTTCTGTGTTTCCTGATCCAATACTTGCTTCTTTCCCATAATTCTCTATGTTACCAGCTGCCTGATCCGGTCAATCTACCCATATTCTCTCTGTAAAGCGATGCCACACTTTCATAAACATAGCTCTATTATTGCAATAAATAAATATCTATAACAATCAATGTTTCTGTGTTACATTTCATACGGCGCTCCCCATCACCCCCACATACTGCTGCTGATAAATCACACTGCTCTTACTTACATCAAGCATGTCAAACTCACGTCCCACAATGAATATGTTTGCAGCCCAGCCAATATAGCCAGTGGCGTACCTACCATGGTCACAGCGGGGAGGCTGATGTGGGCCATCAGTTGGCCCATGCACTTAGGGCCACCCGATGGCAATGTGTCTTCAGGGACCCGGTCTGCACTGCTGGCACTTTAATAGAGCGACAGGGCTCCTCTAATGATGTCATTGCTGGCCAGTCACTTACAGCTATCAAAGAGCCACGCGGGAGGAAGACAGCGAGGAGGGACGGAGAGGAGGTGAGTGGAGTCTGGTAGATCATCTAAATCCCATCATCCTGAGCCAGCCGACATTACCCCAGGGAATAACCCTAAAGATAGGAAAGAGGAGGGAGGGTGGCTAAATGATGTTCATTTTGCATGTGTCTCTGTTTGTGTGTATCTGAGTGTCTGTTTGTGTGTCTGTATGTTTTTTTATTTGTGTAACTATGTGTCTGTGTATCTATCTGTTTGTATCTGTATCTGCTTTTCTGTGTGTCTAAGTGTGCGTATTTGCATGTGTATCTGTGTCTGTCTGTATATATGTATGTATATATCTGTCTTTATATTTGCATGTGTATGTGTCTGTATCTTTGTGTGTGTGTCGCTATATCTGCTTGTTTGTATGTGTATCAGTGTGTCTGTATGTGTATCTATCTGTGTGTCGATGTATCTGCTTGTTTGTATGTGTATCAGTGTGTCTGTGTATTTGCATGTGTCTGTATCTTTGTGTGTGTGTATCTGTTTGTCTGTATCTGTTTGTATATGTATATCTGTGTGTGTGTGTATCTGCATTTGTATGTATGTGTGTCTGTGTATCTGTATATATATTTGTGTATCTGTGTGTGTGTATCTGCATGCCGGTGTGTGCCCCTGTTTATCTGTGTGTCAGTGTTTGAATGATTGTCATTCTGTGTATCTGTATGTGTTTAGTGTAAGTATGTGAATACATCTCAGTATTCAAATACCAACACTACACAAAAATACACCCCTGCATTCAAATGTCTACACTACATACAGACACACCCCTACATTAAAAGGCAAACACTACATAACAAGTAAATCACTGCTTTCAAATGTAAAAAGTACATTAAAAAATCACAGCACTACGCACAAGTTCACCCCTTCACACACATACTCCATACAAAAACATGCTTACATTCAAACATACAAACACTGCTCAGTGCTAAGTACAGCCCGAGGGGTGCAATGTCCAAGTGACTGGCAGTAGAGGAGCTCACAGCACTCCTCTCCTATCGGTCAATTTATGTAGCGTGGCCAAGTTTTACCAGCACCTCCAACCAGTCCACCGGCTCTGGAGCATGCCGTAGCCTGTGTGGAGGTGACAGAGATATGAATTACCTCATATCCCTGCTCCCTATATTCCTCACAGCACGGCGGCGCCTAAGTTCTGGGGCCGGGCTGCGAGGAGCGTCAAAGTCACGAATCGACCCGCGAGGCAAAAGGTCTTGCTACGCCCGGTACTGCGCTCTGGGGCCCGCGGTTGCCAGGTTACTGGCAGGAAGGGTGCGATGTGCTGTGCTTATCCTGCCGCTATATGTAGCAAGTACTTCCTGTCAGACGGGTACCACAGCGATCAGGTACAAGAGAGGAGTAGGGGAAAGACACATGTCTGAGACACATGGAGGGGTTGGGGGCAGTGACGGATCCAGGGGGGGCCAACTAAGCAAATGCCCCCCCATAGTGAGGTGGAGGGTCTCCCCTGCCGGCCAATGCAGGGCAGTGATCTCCCTCCCCGGCCCACAGGCACATTGCTTACAGCCAGCAGGGGAGGAAGAGAGAGAGAACCCGGGGGAGCTCTTACCTGCAGCTCCGCCGGGTTCTCCTCTCGTGAGCACGGAGCGTTTCCGTGGCATGGCAACGCTCAGTTCTCGCAAGAGTAAACTCTACCCTGAGCTGCAGGTTAGAGTTCACTAGAACCACCAGGGATGAAAAGAAAGCAATGTCTCCCCGTCCCTCAGCACAGGTAAGAAGGGAGGGGGGACATAAACGATATTTTTAGTAATTATTTAATCATTTAAAAAATATATCTTTAATCTGCTCCCGTATCGCCTCACACAAACTATAACCCCCTACACACTGCACCACACACAAACACACAGCCCCCCCTTACACACACTGCCCCCCCCCCCCACTTACACACACTGACTGTTTCAGGAGATATAAATAACACTGCCCCCATACACACTGCACTACATACACATACAGCCTCCATTACACACACTGCCTCCCTTATACACACAGCTCCCCCTTACACACATAGCCCCCAATACACACACTGCCCCCCTTACACACATAGCCCCGATACACACACTGCCCCCATCAGGGCCGGCGCCAGGGCCAGCGCTTCCTATAAGGTCGAACTAGGCAGCCGCCTAAGGCGCCATCGCCGGCCCTTTAAATGCCACAGCCGCCTGAGCACTCCACATTGCCTCACCTCCCCTGCCCTGTAGCGTGGCCGAGCTCCTTTCAGATCCGCGACCCAGCCGGACTAACAGGAAGTGCACACTCAGTGTCCATTTAATGTGAGGTAAATTAGAGATTAGTGTCACTAATAATATACTAGATTGCCAATTTACAATCAGATGAGGATGGTGATGGGCTCTGGCTGCAGTCTGGCTCCACTAGTCTTGTGTAGAACAGGATTTCTGGAGGCTGTTTGTAACTGTGGTCACAAAATTCAATGTTCTGGGAGAACGGGAAGCAGCTCAATTTTTTGGGGCCTCTTACATAGCTCAAGGTCTGGGCCCCAGGGTCTGACGGTGAGTATGCCCATAAAGCCCACTGAGTGTGCACTTCCTGTCAGTCCGGCCGGGTCGCGGACCGGAGAGGAGCAACAGGGAAGGTGAAGATAAGAAGATTACAGGAAGGGAGGGGGGAGAAGATTACATGGGGGGAGTGGAGTAGATTACGGGGGGGGGGTGGAGATTACAGGGGGGAGTGGAGTAGATTACAGGAGGGAGGGGGGAGGAGAAGATTACAGGGGTGGAGGAGATTACAGGGGATGGAGGGGAGTGGAGAAGATTACAGGGGGGGAGAAGAATACAGGGATGGGGGAGAAGATTACATGGGGGGGGAGTGGAGTAGATTACAGGAAGGGGGAGTGGAGGAGATTACGGGGGGGGAGTGGAGAAGATTGTTGGGGAAAATATTATGTATATATCTGTTTAATATGTGCTTGATTGAGTCTGTGTGTATGGGAGGTCAGGAATTATCTTCAAAGGGAGTTTCTGTTTAGATAGTTGGAAAGATACAGCACCTGAAAGGCACCAATCACATTTACATATCAACTGGTCTTCAAAGGAGTCCCTATTCTAGGAAAACACACCTTGGGTTAGAGGAAAAGGGATGGCTGGGAGAGTTAACACTTAAATAAAATAACAGGATAGACAACACTTTGGGCCTTGGGAAAGGAAATCACATTTCCATGTCAAATTGAGCTGAGGAATTTGCTATTTACAACATGGGAACCAATTCCTTTAAAAATAGAAGATACTGACATCACATTAGGTTAGGTTTGGTAAGACACACAAGCTGCACATAACATGCACAGCACATACACAATGTAGCCAATATTATACACAATGTAGCAGATAGTATTAGATAGATGGAATGTATGCGTGTTGTGAATGTATTGTAACTGTAATACTATAACTCTGTAACATTCTTCTTCTGTAATATTGAATTGGGCAGATTCTAAGTAAAGATTTCTCTCTGGTAAGAACTATGGTGTTGGCTGTTTATTTGTAATATTGGGTAGAATACCTTAGTAGTTCTAGTCGTATATTTATCTGGATAAGGGGATAAAGATATATGTTAGTTCTTGGAAGAGGTTACACAGGGATATTACATTCACTATTAAAACACAACGCAGAGTGGATTTCTCTCAAAAGGATACCAATTGGAAGTATTGGTGGTGAGAGAAGGATTATACAACATAATTGGTGCCGTGACCGTGGCCGGAAGATTTATTTCTTCAGAATCTGCCTAGGATCCAAGTTTTAACATCAACGTATTTGGTTCTGTGACTGTCAGCCAGAAGAGGTTTCCAGTGTCTGCATAAAGCTTGGTGAGTATATTTGTTATTTATTCTATTGCTGCAGTGTATATTTTTAATATGGCATGCAAAAAGGTAGATGCAAAAATGGCTTGTTCAGAAAATGTTAAACAATGGCTTATGAACTATATTAAGAGACATGGTGGTCCTTATGAAATCTCTCAGGACTGTAAACAGTCATGGGAAAAGATGCAGGAGTTTTTAGGAGAAATTTTATTTGATAAAAATGTTTCTGATAAAAAAAGAAAAGGGTGTATTATGCAAGCATTGCTATCATGTTGTTTAAAATTAGAGGGAATTGTAAAAATAAAGGAGGATGAAATGGCAGAGCTAAATTCAGTAATTAACATGAAATCTGAGAAATTGAATAATAAAATTGTAGATCTAAGAGTGCATGCAGTTACAACTGGTGAAGCTTTGATTGAAAAGGCAAAAATGTGTGAGGAGCTTACAGTGGAGAATGAGAGGCTGAATGGGAAAATTTTGGAGATGCAAAAAGAATTGGATGAATGCAGACATGCTACTAATATGGCTTTTAATAAAATGGCAGAAAGCATGGCACCTTCGAGTAGGTCTCCTGTATCTGAAATTCCAGGGTCTAATGCTAACCCAGGGATTGGAGATACAGGATACAAACCCCTTTATCAATGGGAGGATTTGAAACAAAAGTCAGTGACAAATCTCCCTGCGGCTCCAACTACAACAACCACAGTGTTGAATCCTGATAATTCTGGAGAGATTCAGCTGGTTACTAAGCAGTTGAAGCCACAAGAAATGGATGCCATAGTTAGAGAAATAGGGCAGGTCCCTCAG